AAGGGGTCCGAAGCAACAAATAGGTTCCGAAGCAACACGTCCCTAACTCAGCCAGCCATGTCCTTCCATAGGCTATATTTTGACGAAGAAGTGCGCCGTCGGGGAATCGAACCCCCGACCTCATCCGTGGGAGGGATGAATCCTAACCATTAGACCAACGGCGCATCGATCAATCAAAAGCCTTCTTTTGACAAAATCAACGCCCACAAACACCACAAATGCAACATCCCTGAATGGTTTGAAATTGCACCTACCGTGCATGCAGTACGTCAGCGTGTCCAAAAGAAGCGGCGCATCACGCATCACTCTCTCAACTGCTCCAGCTACACGTGGTGTACAGGCAAGCACATGGTAGTAAATAGCAATGCAGTAATGTTTGCACTCGGTCTGCTTTACCACGGAGCTAGGTGACACCTAGGAGGTCTCCATATGATCTCCGTATGACATCGGATCTGCATCTCCATATGATCGTCACATGGGTAACGAACGCCTGGATGAAGTAAGGTATGCGACGGCTAATAAAACAAGGAGAGACGAATCGACAGCTGGCAAAAACTGCGCCGTCGGGGAATCGAACCCCCGACCTCATCCTTGGAAGGGATGAATCCTAACCATTAGACCAACGGCGCGTCCAACTTGATTCAACAACTTATCACATCAAAACATCAAATACGTACGTACAGCAACTCACACACACTCTACACAACTACAAACACACACAATATGCAATACAACAAATCTCAACCACTAGCTTAACAAATCTCAAGCACTAGCACACACTCACAGGAGCACGAGTACTCCAAAACACTTGCAAACTCATATCACGGTGTCCGAACAAGCTTGAATGCGACACGATCCCACGTGAGAATACAATATCAACAGCCTTGCAAGTAGGCAATCTTGCGCATCGACATCGAATCATTGGTGAGAAGTTAGCTCTACGTAAAGCTGCGTGTCTTCCACGTGTTATCGAAACGGTCGTTACCAGTTTTCGCACGTGGCGTCACCTTGTGATCCCGAGATGATCTGCGTGGTGTGCATGAAAGATTTTCCGTGCGTCTGTGCGGTCTATGTGCGTCTTCTACAGCTCTTGAAGCCCTACAGCTTTTAGAAAAAAGAGGTGCAAATGAAAGAAGACAATAAGTGACAGAACGTGTTGGAGCAGTAGAAGGGGTCCGAAGCAACAAATAGGTTCCGAAGCAACACGTCCCTAACTCAGCCATCCATGTCCTTCCTAGGCTATATTTTGACGAAGAGTGCGCCGTCGGGGAATCGAACCCCGACCTCATCCGTGGGAGGGATGAATCCTAACCATTAGACCAACGGGCATCGTCAATCAAAAGCCTTCTTTTGACAAAATCAACGCCCACAAACACCACAAATGAACACTGGTTTGATTACCTACCTCATCTATCACGTGTCCAAAGCCATCACCATCCTTCTCAACTCTCCTTCTTCGCCATGACGACTTGGTCTGCGATCACGACTTGTAGTTTGTGATCCTCGGAATACCATCAATTTAGCTGACGGCTTGATCTGTGATTGTAATATTAGGTATGTGGTCCACATTACACAGTTCGATCCGCTGACAGCTTGATCTGTGATCGCGATCGGGATGCAATGTCCCACACCACGATCTGCAGATGACTTGATCGGCTGGGCGTAATTGCGACCTGTGCTGTAGTCCAAACCGTGCGATCCCTTTATCGACCAGTCACGTAAAACTGGGACTTATCACACTGGATCACCTGATCTCCCCGAAAAGAGACCATTTGCCCAATTTTCGCTCTTACAAACTTCCACCGCCCATACGCTTTTCTCCAAAGCCAGCATATCTTCCTTGGTGGCCGCGGTCCATTGGTCCTGCTGTCTGCTGCGCATATCCTGACCATAGCTTTTGACATTTTCTTTGCGCGCACTGTTTACTACGTCACATTCATGATTCACCATTTTCTACTTCCTACACACGTAGCCGCAACATCACTCTTCAACACTTAGGTCCGAGAAAATCACTCCTTTGACAACGTCAATTGTGTTATTGTCACCTTGCGACTGCGCTCTGCGCGTTCTTTGTCTGTTTTCCTTAAGAGCAAGCAAGACAGTATGCCCTGATTTGGAGCGATATCCAAATTCCTGAAGCTGGGTCTTGCGCCATCCGAATGATCTTGTCGTAGTTGAGATGCGCAAATCTGCAATGGAAATACATGTGACCCCTTCTGAACATCACGTTCCACCTCTTTCTTGTAATAAGCTAGTACAGACATAATTACATCAGTCGGTTTCCACATTTTCTCGTTCGCCTTCCGTGCATAAGTACATTGGGTTTGACACATGTACGTCATGCACGAAGGTTTTTCCGTCAAGTGTTACAATCACACGCTGCTTGCCTTTTTTAGATATTCCCGTATTCTCAAAGCATTATGTAAAAGATATTATTCTTCTACAGATTTCGGCACAGTATACGTTCCATAGACGCACTTGAATCGTCTTTTCCCAGCATCATGCCAAAATCACGACGCTACTGGGCTAGGTAATACGAAGAGAGCCGCCGTCTGCAGCAACGCATTCGCTGACGTAATCCTCTGGGTCGATAAGTAGATTGAAGCAGTTCACCAAGTGTCTGCTTGCCCCTGTCAAGAGATCGCATAAACAAGCTGACTTCCGTGACAGATGATTACTAAAATTTGATGACAAAGTCCGTTTCGTGTTTTGCCGTCGTCCATTTCCTGGGCATTTGGGCTTTTATGCCCATGTTTTCCGCACATGTAACACGTTCGTGTGTCTTTTCCGTCCGTTCTTAGCCAAATTTTCTAGTTCTTGTACCAGCTGCCTTCCTCGTGTATCCAACTGTGTAGATTGCGCAAACGGGCTAGTTTTTCAGCCTGGAGCAGGTAGTCTGTGCGCGTCAGATTCAGGCGCGAAAGCATCGACATTCTTATGGATGGTTCTGCGTAGTGCACGACGTTGTCAAGGTCCAAGTTGTCCACTTACCGCACGCTTCACTCACAGCTACTAGGTAGAGATTGTGTTCCGCACCTAAGAATAGTAAGAGATGCCCAGCTTCTCTTTCTGTTCTTGTGTGCTGTAAGCATCTTTATGCTTTGAGCCGGTGTTATCTCGGCTGAAAATGTATGCAATGGCCTCTCCATCGCGTGCTATAAAGCTGTATTTACCTGCCACCAACCGTTGACCTGTTTATTGTAGTACCTTGCAGCCATTCTTGCCACTATTGCCCGATTACGTCGACATGTACTTCCTCGCTCCAGGGGAAACCGCTCGCACGTACCGCAAACGAGACATGCCGCACGTATCGTTGTCCCACGATAGGAGCCATGTACTTAATCCCTGGTACAATTCCTTCCCGTTAAACTAGAGAATGCCCAGCTTTCTTATGGCGCCCATCTGAAACCCGCGCAAACTGTACACTTAGCCCCGGCGCGTGGTGCTGCTGCGAATTCGGGAGATGTGCTAGCGGTTTCACGTAGTGCTGGGAAAAATCAGGGTGTGGCTCCTGCACCATCTCAACATTTGCGGCGAGCTTACCACAGCCGCTGAGGCCGAGCTACTGTAGCCAAGCTACTTATGCACTATGTGCAGAGGAAGACAAGCTCAGAGAGCTTCTACGTCTTAGGGTGCTTAACCTTCTCAAGGCTACCTCGCAAGTTTATGCGCTGTTCACAACCAAAGGCGTAAACGTGTCTCCAAGAGACTAGTATCAAAGATACAATTCCTTAGAAAGGAAGAGAACGCTCAAGCACTAAAGCTTTTCAAAGCAGGTTTGAAACTGATTTGGGTGTTTAGCTTCTAACACTAAATATAGAAGCACCTACTCTATACTTGGTGCTAGTCGCTATTTGCTGGCTCTGTAGCTATTTATATGCAAACATGTATAGTCACTATACTTAGCTAAGTATAGTGATCACGTGGCTCTCTGCCACGATGCGACCCTTCGTACCTCAGGTACGGTCACATCGAGCCTACTCTTGTACCCAAGGTACAGCCTCACCACATTGGTGTGGCAGGTGTGTATGTAAATACACACTTTCGTGTAACCACGTTACAACTGGCCCTTTCGTAATCAGTCTTGGTGATTTTGTCAGCACCAACGGTGTAAACCGTTAGGCTCATAATCCCATGGTTGGATATGAATTACTTGTAGAACCAAGATAAGGATTTTTAAGCTAACAGATGTGCTAATCTATCCATCTCGTCTAATGCTTTCAGACACCATCCATCTACCTGAGGTATTGGTATTCCACGCACACATTTCAAGAGCGGGCAATTGAAATTGGGCTGGTTCTGGGTACCGCAGCTTGAGCTATTCACTGCACCGCTTCAATCTGCAGTTCAATACATGAATTCTTGCATAAGTCTCAGAGCGACCCTTTAGACGACTAAACTAATGTGAGCTGTCTCATTGATGACGCAATTTACTTGCCCTTAAGCATGTCTTGCTGCATAATCTCAGCTGTAAACAGCACCCTAGCAACAACAAAACCTTGAATGCTGCATACGAACTAGACCGAGAGTCGAGAACTGCTGTAGTCTTCATTCATCTCGTCGACGATAGATATAGATGATGATTGACTATTCAATGACAGACTTCTAGTAAGAACATACAGCAAAAACGATCCCAAACTTTCGTTTCGATCAATCACAACGAATCAATTATTGACTTATTTTGAAACTTGATGTGGACATCAAAGCTGCAAAGATCGGTATCGGTTACTTTGCCGAACGCCGTCTCACTGAGACGTCACCTCAAGCGTCCTGCCAAAGCCTTTGTTACGCAAAGCTGCCTTCCAACTTTATTTAAGCACCATCTCAAGCAAGCATTTTCAAAATTTGCAGCTTCTTTTTTTCTCCACTATCGTAGATTTGCGAGTTCATCTAAAGGCTTTCAATGCCAAAAATGCGGCCATACCTTTGTCAAGTGGCAGGGACAATGCTCGTCCTGTTCACAGTGGGGCTCTGTGGTATCCACTAAGCCAGCTGAGCCCATGTTTCGCCAGTCAAATGCTGCATCTTTTACCAAAGTCAAGCCAAAGCACACTGTAGCCTGGTCCAGGACAGGCCAGGATGCCTTTGAACAAGACGTTCCTTACGCTTTACGAATGAATGACGTTGTGTTAGGCACATCCGTAGAGCGCATTGAACTACCAGAACGCGAGTTGGTAGGCGTGTATTGTACAAATATACTAAGCTGTAGAGTAAACGCACTTGACCTTGGAGTGTTGATGTAGAATTGGGTTCTAGGAGGAGGCCTAGTGGCCGGCTCGTTGACGCTGGTAGCTGGCAATCCTGGTGTCGGCAAGAGCACGGTGCGTTTGACTGCCGCATTAGTTACTTTGATGATGGATGTATCATTAGGTACTAATTTAGATACTGCTACTGTACGTCTTCCAGCTAGCACTGCAAATGGCAAACATGCTGGCAAATGGGTCAGCCATACGAACGCGTGGAGTGCTATACGTATCGGGTGAAGAAAGTGTGCTTCAAGTGCGGATGCGAGCAGAGCGCCTTGGATCGGTCAGCAACGGTTTGTTCGTAGCTAGTGAAACGAATCTAGACTCGATTTTCCAGTTGTTGGAAGGAGGCAACGGACTTGACGTGGGTAGTGATGATTACCAAGGATTTGGTGCTGTCGTAGTGGACTCAATCCAGACTGTGTACGCAGGAGACATTCCCTCACCGGCAGGGTCAGTAAACCAAGTGAAAGAGTGCACACTTCGCTTGCTTCGATTAGCCAAGACACGCAATGTGCCTGTGATTCTTATAGGGCACGTCACCAAAAGCGGTGACATTGCTGGCCCCAGGGTGCTTGAACACATCGTGGACACCGTGGTGCAGCTGGAGGGCGATCCACAGAGTACCCGGCGGTTCTTGCGCTGCCAAAAAAATCGCTTCGGCAACACTAGTGAGGTTGGCGTCTTCAATATGACTGATGAGGGTCTCCAGCCGCTGCCAAATCCTCTGATGGCATTTGTTTCGTCACGTGATGAAGACAATGATGATTTTCCTGACAGCATGAAGGAAACCAAAATTGAGCCGCTTGACGGGTGCTCCATTACCATTGCTATGGAAGGCAAGCGACCAATTCCTCTTGAAATTCAAGCCCTGGCCTACCGGGCACACAGCGCAGATGCTGTGCGTGGTGGTCAGTCTGTCTCACGCGTACGCGGCCTGGGCGTAGCGTTTGACAAGCTACTCCTTTTGTTTGCCGTACTGGAAAAGCGTGCAAAGGTTTTTTGCAACAATCAGAGTGTCTTTGTGAACATCGCAGAGGGCTACACTATTCAGGAACCCGCGGCCGATTTGGCATTGGCAGTAGCTTTAGCCAGTTCTGTTCTTGGCCGTCCTGTATTGGAGCGAACAGCCTTCCTTGGAGAAGTATCATTATCCGGTCATTTGCGGCCAGTCAAAATGCTCGAATCACGGCTTACTGCAGCGCAAAAAATTGGGCTTGAGGTCTGCGTGATTCCTAAGGAGCACGATCAGGCCACGCGTCGTGCGCTGCGTAAGAAGTTTGCTGACACGTTAACTGTCATCGAGGTATCGACGTTGCTACAGGCTTTAAAGATCGCTTTTCATACTTTACCAACCGCGTCGATTTTATCCAGTGGAGCTTCAAGAGCAAAGGAAGATAGCAAATCCCAGTCTACATTGGCTCCCGACGAGATGCAACACGTGTAAAATTTATTCTTTCGCACACACACGGGCGGACGACCGTAAGATGGCAGTGAGTTTGTCTCTCCTGTCTCAATGTTTTCCAATCCGTCCTTCGTTTGCTGAGTCAATGCCTTTCCTTCTTCTTCCTACATATTCACCCTTGTTTTGTGCGACTGCTGCGTTTGACCTTCTTTCCAACTAATGCATGTAACGGAAGCCCCAACTTGTCTTCCAACGAGATAAAAGAGTCTTTCTCCACCTGCTTTGACGACATCTTGCCCGTCGTCTTCAGCTGAGGTACAGTCTGATGTTTGACAGTATTTTTTCGCCTTGTCTTTTTTATCTTTGGCTTCAATTTGTCAATCTTTGGTCCAAGCACGCGTCCAGTCTTGAGCACCATGTGATGCCCATCTGCTGTCACTTTAGCGTGTGATCGATGGGTCGCAAGTCCTTTCTTCGAGTTCGTATGAACTCGCTTCTTATCCAGTTCCACGTGCACTACGTAATCAATAAATTACACGTAAGCTAACTATGAATGCAAAGTCGAGCAACTATGGATACATTGATGACGCACAAGTTGCCTGCATGGTCTCAATCTGCTGCGCTGTTAGTTGATCACCTGTACGGAGCTTACGCTGATAAAACTTTTGCAATGCCTCCACCTTATTGGATGAAATCTTGCCACCATGCCACGCAATCCGACGTGCGCTACTGGTCGTAAGACTCGGGGGCACTGAACTCGCCTTCACGTGCGACAAGACGGCCACGCGCTGCATAATGACAAATGGTCGTCATTTATTGTCGTCATTTATTTGTGTTAGTTTTCCAACCGTCTTTTTGACAAAACGTGCAGTAGTACAAAAGGACCTGTGAGATGGTATATACTGTACACAAGGACCTGTAAGAATGTATAAACTGTACAAATGAAGTACCACAGCATACAGCTCTTTACCACCAATCTAACAAATAATCAAATATGCCACCAAAGGCTTCATCGCGTCCTGCTGCTAGTTCACTGGATATGGAAGACTTGATCAAGTATGAGGGTGGTGTCAATGCCATTTCATGCAATGTAAAGACTGTTTCTACTTATCATGAATCTACACGACATGAATTCAAGTCGCATGAGCTATTAACCACTCGTACGGAGCTGCTGGACTGGTATGACATGCATCGCCGAAAACTTCCATGGCGAGGCGATCCACCGCCGTATGTAACGACTGCAATCCACACGAGCCAAAAGAAAACCAATAAGAATGATGATGCAGGAAAACAGACAGGTTTAGACGCGTTTCTAAAGGTATTGGTGAAAGAGGAGCCAGGAGCAGGCAGGAGTCAGAGCAGGAGCAGGATGACAACAAGAATGAAGCTGCTGCAAATAATGTGCGTAAAGCGACGGCGATGAAGGTAAAACCATACGAGACGTGGGTATCGGAGATTATGCTGCAACAGACACGCGTCGATACCGTGGTCGAATACTTTTTGCGCTGGATCGACAAGTTTCCCACAGTGGCCGCTCTTGCTAAATCCAATGAAGAAGTGCGTGGCTACTGGTGTTGGAATGTTTTGAAATGCAGTCACAAATTGAGTATGATGCGGTACTTTGTCGTGTGATTGCAGGACGTAAACGCCATGTGGGCAGGACTAGGATACTACCGGCGTGCTAGGATGTTGCACGCTGGTGCCAAGTACGTGATGGAAAAATATAATGGCGAGCTGCCGTCGACAGTTGACCAATTGCTGACGATACCAGGGATTGGACCGTATACGGCAGGTTCGTAGTAGTTTATTAACCTTTCTGTCTAGGCCTTGCGCGCATAGCTTGATGGTTGTTTTGCACAACAGGAGCTATCGCGTCCATCGCCTTTGACCAACGTGAGCCGCTTGTAGATGGAAATGTGATTCGTGTAATGGCCCGAATGCGAGCTGTTGGAGCAGACCCGAAAAATAAGCAGCTTATTAAATTTTCTTGGAAGGCAGCCAGCGAGCTTGTAAGCGGGTGCGATCGCCCTGGAGCGTTGAACCAGGCACTGATGGAGCTTGGGGCTACAGTCTGCACAGTTCAAGTAGCGCATTGTCTTGCCGTTTCCATCTGTAAGTCTGCGTGGACCTTGATTCTTACACGAGACTGTGTGTTGCTCTAGAACCCTCAATGCTCGGACTGTCCTGTAAAGTCGGTGTGTCTTGCCTTGGAAAAGACAAGTGCTGCTAAGCTCAAGAGCAAATGTTCTACTGTCTCCCAAGCATCGGCTGAGGCATGTTCTATCTGTGACTATACACGTGTTACGGAGTGGGATGAAACGCAGACCGAAGTGAGCTTGATTGTGTGCGTCTTTACATATCTGGTCAAGTGGTTTACTGATATTTTCTTGAGCATAGGTCACCAAGTATCCGCTAAAAGCGAAAAAGAACGACGCAAGACAGGAAGTCATTTGCGTTACAGTAGTTTCGTCGCCAGCCGATGATATCATACCACGTAAGCGAAAGGCGGCAAAGAGCATCGAGGACTCTTCTCCGTCTGACTGGAAGTTTTTGATGGTAAAACGTTCCAAGGAAGGTCTATTGGCTGGACAATGGGAGTTTCTTCATACCAAGGTAAAACGTCACAGTAAAGAGTCGTGCGGCAGTTATGTAAGTTTTCTTACGTTATTTGTTTGTGTTCGTTGTGCTGTCCAGATGAGCGATGGTGATCAGATTCCTCCTTTCTCTAAGCGCAAGACATTTATGGATACTCAACTCACCGATATACTTGGCACATCGGCATTCTCTCAATCTAGTAGGTTAATCATGGAACGGCATGATATTGGTGAGCTTACGCACATTTTCTCACATGTGAAGCACCACATGGGCATCGAGCACTTGCATTTCCATTCGACACCTGATGTAATACCACGAGTTTTCAAGTCTGACAATATGCGGTGGATAACAATGGACGAGATGGAGCAATTAGGTATTACGACGGGCGTGAAGAAAATCTTGCAACTCATTCTTGACCATAAAAATAAGCAGAGGACCAGAAGACGTGGTTGTGTCGTTTCACACGTCACATATCACGAAAAGCGACCGAAAACCATTGCGTCCTATTTCAACAAGTTATAGATTGATAAAGTCTCACAGGTTATCTATTGCATCAGACGAGTCAACTGTTTCTTTTTTGTGTGCTTCAATAATTGACGACCAGACTAGAAAAACTATCGAATGAAGAGAAAAAACCGTTTCAAAAAAACGTTTTTTATCACCTCAGCACATAAACCGTTTTTTATTACACTACGTACCAATAACAATAACAATATAAAGTTCTACGGTGATTTTCCTATTCTCCAGCAGCAGTAGACACAATAACAATAAAAAGACCACGAACAAGTGCCAAGAACGACGTGATCTTACTGAATCCACTTACGCTCGTGACTATTGAGATGAAAAGAAGAAGAAGATATGAAGAAGGACCGGATTGGAATTGATATGGTACAATCAAATCGTATCATTTATTTCCGTGCTTTAACTGTCTCTGATCTTCCACAAGTTCGTAAATTACATGAAGAATGGTTTCCTATTCGTTATAATGAAAGCTTTTATGATGGTGCAGCAAAAGGTCTTTGGATGGAAACAGGTGGTCCATTATTCACACGATTAGCAGTGGAAATACAGACAATTACAAGACAAGAACAAGAGCAGCACGCAGCAAGAGCAGCAGCAGCACGAACTGGAGAGTGAAGATATTCTTGGTGCAGTGACAGCTAGTACCTTGTCATTAAATAAAGTGGATGACGTGAATTTAATTGCATCGGATGATTGGAAACATACGGAAATTATGTACATTTTAACACTTGGGACGAGATTCTCAGTTCGAAGAATGGGTATTGCATCGGCATTATTACAGGAATGTATTGCACAAGCCTGTCGTCAACCACAATGTGGCGCAGTTTATCTTCATGTGAAAGCAGATAATCTAAGTGCTCGACATTTTTATGAAAAAAATGGGTTTCAAAATTTACGATTCTTACAAGGTACAGGAGGGGAGTTTGGGATAGATCATGCTATTGCAAGTTTGATTTGGTTGATGGGTTGTCTATGTGAATGGTACATTGATGACGGTTCATTTGATATTGTGTAGATTACTACATGATTGATGGTGTACGACATGATGCGTTCCTGTACATTTGTTATGTAAATGGTGCGACCTCGCAACAAAGCGATTGGTTCAATCTAATTACAAGGTACGGGAACGAAGATGAAGTCGAGATTTGGTCCACATTATTTACTCGTTTTTATGGTTACTTGCTGCCGTGTGTAGACCACTTTTTGCACTATTTTCAATCGCTTTATTTGGCTGGAAAAAGATTGTCGAGGGGTTTACTGCCGAGAATTTTCGGGACACTACCACCTCTGAAAAACTCGCCCCAATGACCCTCTCAGCTACTGTCAAAACTGCCGATCTTGTTCCGGTATGAATTGAGCAACAAACTAGTACTCTGCAAACATTTCTTCATGACTAATTCGTTTTTTGTCGATACGCTAATGGGGACGTTGCCAGCGATGGAGCTGAGTGTAGCGGAATTCGGCTACACGCTACCTCATTCGCGCAGCATTGTGGCTAGGCTGTTATAACTAAACGCCTGACGTCCATCGCAAAGGATCATGTGCTTTCAGCACTTGTGCCGAATGAGACTGAGGACGCAACGAAAATTGAAGAACGGGAGGCGAAGGAGCCATGCAATCATCTAACATCCTGCCAACGTCCCAAAACTACGCAGCTTGCTGAAGAAGCTGGTGTGTTCTGTGTTTGGTCATCTGGACGCCACTACTTGTAAGGTGTGCAAGGCAAGAACGAGCTTAATGATATGGTAGGCATGTCGGCAACAACCACAAACGGTCTGATGTTTGGCACATCCACGATCGATGTCGTCATCAAGAGAAGGCGTCTAGAAACTGTCGGAGACGACAACTTTTACAACCACATTGGCGGCAGCTTGTACGTGTTCTCAAGCGCTGATACTGTATTTTCGTCACAAAAGCATGCTATCACCATTTCTGTGCCGTTTCAATGGCTCCTCGGTGCAGTTCCCGGAAAGTAAGCTGCGACTCGTTCTACATGTCACTAGCAATGAGTTTGGTATGCAGCAGTAAATTGGGCTGCCAGCGCTGACTCTTATGTTTTGCTGCGAAATGCGCCTATCCAGACAAGCTGCGCATGAAATGGAACTTGCTTTGATTGAATCCAATATCTGCTGCTTTGCTTTGGATGCCAGATGCCGACTTGAATTGGGGTCGTAACAACAAGTATTTGCGGTGTACGCGTGTCAGTGTGTGGCACTTAGTGAGCACACAGATTTGTGTTGGTTGATGCTAGGTGACCTGGGTCTGTGCTGGGCATTGAGCATTCGAACACGTGACTACATTTTTAAACAGCGTATTATTTACGAGGGGATAATAAATAGTAGCCAAATGCATTGCATTCGCCTCGATCATGGACGTAGCTGCAGTTTTGGTTGCGATGCAAGCTCGCTTTCTAGAATAAGTTGGAACTGTCGGAGTTCTTCTAGGTGTGAGGTTTTCTGCATGTTACTAGAGATCGTCGCATTGATGCTGGATGATCCAAGACGGAATAATTGTTTCCATACAATTAACACAGCATCAGGAGAACTTGCCGAACCGAGCGCACATTGAGAAATGAGTGACTCGATTGTCTGCAAGCAACAAGAACACAAACTGTTAAGACGAGCACTGCTCGCACAACTAAGTCCATCAATGTACAGCTTACCGCAATCGCCGCTCGACATGACACGCTCCACGTTAAGACTCGGTACGCCCAATACACCACCAAAAGCGGGTGTAGATACTGCTGCTCAACGAGCATTTTTTGAATTTCATTCCAGTACAGATCCTTCGTTCGTGCACATTCTAGCTCGTAGGGATCGTAGAGTGCTGCATCTGTCACGTGAACCTTCGATTCTTCTGCAATTCTGACTGCGCTGTATGCCCATGCAGGCAATAGCTTTCGATAAATGTCCCTAAAAAAATAAAATAACGGCAAGTTTGTTAACATCTTCACACCAGAGCGAGCAACATCCAACTTACAAAGAAGAGCTACGAGGTGCTGACATCTTCAATCCTGCAATAATTTCGCTTGTAGAAGACAAAGTGATGTCAGGTTGAGTTGGTTCGCTTGGATCAAAAGATCCGCCAGCAGCGGCAGCAGTAGACCACAGGGATAGATACAGCACATAATCTCGCTCGATGCCAAAGTGTTTCGCAGCTCGAGATCGCATAACCTGGGTGCAATCCAATCGTCAATACATACACTTGACAACCAATGTAGCGACACGAAGAGAAATCATACACCAGCACTTACTTTTCGCATCGCAAGTGCTTTTCGTTCTTGTGAGGCTGTTGGTGTTGGGCACAAATCGATTGATTCGCTTATTCGCTGCAGAACGTAGCCAGCAAATAGTGTACCATGACGAATAAATGGCAAGAGACTCAACACCCCTCCACCACGCAACTCTGTCTGAATAGCTGGGTGGCTATCTGAATCTGCTAGAAGCTGACTAAGTTTCTGCAGTCCTTCTCCTTCACTAAATCGCCGCATCTGACTACTTGACTGTGCATTCTCTGCCTTAACAACTTGCCAGTTGATTTCTTCCATGTGAAGCCGTTGCAACAGAGCATTAATCACTTTTAAACGTCGTGAGTCTACGACTCGATCTAGGGTGCTGACACGAGGCAAGGGACTAAAGACATATGTTCCATTACGCGGCTGAGAAAATGATGCATACTCAGCTCCGAACTGTTCCTCACTGGCAAACGCAGCGCCACGCTCAAATGTCCTCTGCAGCTTCGGTGACAGTTGATAGGCGGGGCAACACGTTGTGGAATCCATTGACATGAAAGACCACGAGCAAGATGAACGATTTAAATTCAAATAACGGGCCAAGTGGACCATGTCCCTTCTACTTGGCGGGTCAAACATGGCATCGGCCACTACCGCGTGTGGTTCAAATCCATCCAGCAATTCGTATAGCGGATTGGGCTTCAACGAGAGCGAGTTTTGCTGATCATTTGAAGTTGTCGACATTTTAAACTCCTTAGCTGTTATTCCATAAAATGGTATCCCAGCTTGCTTGAACTGCTGATACAACTCGACAAGCGAGTATCTCGCGTACGCATCGCTCGCTGTCGTCGCGTGACAGACCGGGTAGATGACAGAAACTGACACAAGACATACAACTACCAATGGTGCCGCTAGGCGTCGCGAAAGCATGATGGCTGCTTCCAATCCATAATTTCCCTGCGTCACCCGCAACGTGTTATGCATCCAATATACAATAGACTGATTCTTCGCTCCGATGACACATGTCCTTCTGCTTGAGTTTTGAGGAGCAAACCACAACCTTCGTCGCTCTTCGAGTTGAGGTGGCCACTGATCTAAAAGCATTGAATTGTCAACAGGCTCCGACACGTCATTTAAAGCTTTATCAACTGGATGGCCATCGTTTCGCGCGTTCTCTTGCCCCGACAGCAACTTTTGGTCCTCCACCAAAGTTTCTAGACACAAAAAATCACTCACTCGTTCATTCTGAGCAAGTAATTCCTGTGGCGTCTTGACAACACTTGCTGTTTCCCATGGAGGTGCACAGTCTACACTAATGGAGGCGTCATAAGACTCTGTCTTCTCCACGATCTCCTCATCCACGTCCGTCACAGTATCACAAACTGTCGTTGCAATGTCTTGATCCAAAGAACGAGCAACAGCATCAACACTCTTCTCTCGTCTTTTCTGCTCCATATCTCCAGCAACAGTAACAGTCTCTTGTCCTGCCACAGTCTTCTCCTCCTCCTTCTCCTCCTCCTCTTCTTCTTGTTGTTTTCCGTCCATATTCGCCTTCATCTCGTCTAAATCTTCACGCTCTTGATGCTTCTTGATAAATGTATCAATCGCTTGCAGCTAATATCCATAAAAAGCGGCCAATTAGCATCAGAATCAATACGAATCCATCCACAAGTCTTTCATCCGTACCATACCCTGAGAAATAGGCTCAGGATGTTGATCCAGGACACGTACAAAGCCACCAGTTTGTACTTGATATAGACGAAGAGGTGTTGTATCATATGGTAGATTTCCTTCAGCGCGTTGCTGCTCCAATGTCGCCAATTGCGCCGCGATTCGACGCGCTTCAACTGCGTCTGGTAGCGCCATTTTCAATGATGGATAAAATTAATTGAAATTATCCACACAAATATCCATGGATTTTATCCACATGAAAACCCGCTTAAACCGATACACATGACCATATACATGATACCAAACCGACAGCCAATATGGAGGCCAAGGACGACCTTATGGTGCTAAACTGTGGCGTCTGTGGCCACGATCATGAGCAAGTAGGTGGAATGTAATATAGAGAAAGGAGAGAACATACATTCTTGTATTTTTGTAGCTGAAAAGTGATGGTAAATAGCGTCAATACAATGAAATAACTCGATCATGTAGAATGTCAAGTGCATGATTTGTGGACATATTGGCAAAAGTCGGTCGTATCAATGCTTAAAGGTGGTATGTTATGGTATTGAACTAGTATGTGCGACGGTATGTAGCTGAGCACCGTGTATGGATAATGTTTATCTATCAATTTTCATGCTGTAGAAGACGTATACGGCGTTTGAATTTACGGTACAGGGATTTGATTGTCTAGGACAGGATGAGACGATTGCTGGAACGGTTGCTGCCTTAAAGCAGTCGAATCTATCGCTTTGGACATTTGTCCGGATTTTACGGGGAAGAATTTTTCCCAATATGGCAACAATGCTGCCGGACGACCCGATGTCGCGGCATTTAGTCGCTTTTGGTTTGGAACTGTAGCTAGTTGTTGTTGGTGTAAAAGGAGATTGGAAAGAAGAGATGCTCACGAGGTGTGATTGGACTGGGCTTTTGTTTCCATACATGCAGTTGGCGATGGACCGATGGGTATCACACGCTGGCGTCCTGCCGCTGAGGAGAGCGGAAGTCAAGTTGTCATCATTGAGTTCTTTGGCATTGTCGAAAATAAGCGACGACAGGGCTATGCAAAGCGCTTTCTTCTTGCAGTCATTCAAGTAAGTGTTCTGGTGTTGACACTAAGTGTTGTTGGCACTTTTTTGCGTCTGATACGCTGCTGACAATACATTGTGTATTGCGTTGTAGGACATTACGGCTATTTACGCGCAACAGTCGAGACGTCCGCAGGAGTTGATCGCAACTATGCCTCAGACTGATTCTTTTGCAGCAATAAGGTTGTTTCAGTCGATAGGCTTTCAGCCGGTATCAAGGGTGGAAGTGGTACAGGACAGGTCTTTTTTGCAGATGCGAATGGCATGGAGTTGAAGTCGCAACTAGAAATAAGTATCAGAAATCAAGGCTGTTACGTCGCTCCCAACATTGTATCGCCTACGGTCAAAGAATGATGCTTTGTGTCCATTGTACTCTCTTGATCAGCTTTGCAAGTAGGCCATGGACTCAGCACACGCACTACCTCGGTTGTAGAATCTACCCTCACTCTCACAGATATGGTACAAACGCATGTCTGTTTTACAATTGCGACGCTTTATATCGATGATGAAGTGATATTTGAAGTGCATCATGGCAAAGGTTGTTACCATAACTGGAGCCGACTTTGTAGACGAGACGAGAGCGGATGTGTCAATATTTAAATGTACTGTTTCCAGTCATTTTCGTCGACAAAAGTGTCTCCACTATCTCATTCGCTACTACTACATACACCTAATGGCAGGAATCTCGTATGTCTCATCTATAGAAAGATGACGCAACGCTCCTTGCTTCACTGAAGTGAAACTATCCAGGAATGAGATGATACAAGAGATGGTTGAAGCTGTAGAGAAATTGCGTGATCGGTTGTGGAAGCATACTACATTCCTGTACAAGGGTCTCATTCTAAATGAGCTCTTGATTTCGACGATTGAAACACTTGTTGTAGGTCTATCCGTGTCAAACGCTTTCTGAATCTCTACACCATCAATTCCTTTGATGACGATTCTTAATCGTATTAAAAGAACAAGTGGCTTCATTTACACCTGGAGATGGTCAAACACTTTCGAAGTAAACAGCTGGTCGAATCTGATCGCTACGAGATAATTCAAACATGCATTACAACGCAGGGAAGTGCAAAACGCGCATCGATTGCCATCATCCCTACATCATAAAGGGCAAGGGTAGATTCAACTCGCTGCACGAAGCTTCTGTCGGTAATCAAAGAAGAACTGCACAAGATCAGATGAGATAGCATCAAGGTGGAATATCTTGCAGAGCTTTTTGCTACGCATTATGGTGGATACTTGACACTCGGAGGAGATCCATGACAAAGCGTGAATTTTTCAGTGGAGATGGTGGACAACGAAGAGGTGGATACATTTTGGTGTTCTACTATGCTTCATGGTTGGTCACTTCCGTCGCAATGTATTCAGCCATCAACTGACAAGATACTGATACTTTATGATGCGCGTTGGGTTACGCCTAGCTGTAAAAGGTCAGGAGCTTTCTACTAGTGATGATGATGTAATACGATTATATGCTCGAATTATGTTTATGACGTTGTGCAATGCTTTTACCTTGTGACAAGGTTCGATATAAATATCATTAATACATGGTAAATGTTTCCAATGGAGATGGTAACGTTCACCATCTCAGCTTTCCCGTGTTGTTCGTTCGAACGCAGCTGAAAGTCCTGATCCATATGACCTGAGGTTAGAATCGTGTTCTATTGAAGCTGCTGGGGTGGGAAGGATGGGAGGGGTGTTTGATTTGAAAGGTACTTTTGTAGAAAAGAGTACATACTTAAGTAAGTCATTGCGCCTTTTCGATTATACAATTACATACAAAGATCAAGCTGGGTTGAAATCTCATATGATAACGGACGGACGTCAACTTAATCAAGTACTAAACCCGGTTTGAAATCGAAAGACTCAGGCTGGAATGAGATTCACTTCACTTCCTGCTCTGTAGCTACCAAGTACTGCCATTTTATCGTCTTGTATCTATCTGATGACATCAACATTTAGACATCGAGGTAGTTTAGGTGATCGTCATGGGTTTTTCCACCTATGTGGCTCTCCTATTCGCACACATAAGAAAGAATTTGATTACATTTACGGCAAAACACAATCTCCTACCCAAGTGCGACCTGTAGAACTAGCAACGGACATTGATACACCGCTAATGCACCGACGTCCAGGCAAGAAAAGCCTGAAACAAAAGCAACGTGAAGCTGAGGCAGATGCTGCAATGGCAGCATTTGCCAAACACTTGGGCCAAGAAGGTGGTGCCTACTACTATGACAGTATCTGTCCAAGTCCGTGTAAGCTTGAGAAAAGCATCACAGCATCATTTGAAAGTGATATGCCTATGTCTTGCATGGATCAAGAAGGCAACCATAATTCTATGAGACTAGATGGTGCTCGACAGGCTGGGATCCCGCTGTATCTATCTGACTGGTTTAACCCGAACAATAACTCGACTCAACGTCATCGACAGACAAATGTCATCATGACACGAGAGGAACCAGAGCTGGAATTAGAGGCACGTGAGTCGATGACTTGCAGTCGCAAGGAGGAATGTTTTCTCAAATCACATCAAAACGTTAACATGGCTGACGTAACTATTGGCCGTGTGATCGGTGAAGGAGCGTTTGGCAAGGTGTTTAAAGCTTCATGGAAGGGCCAAAATGTAGCTGTCAAGGTGCTGATTCGAAAAAACTTGAGTGCTGACGTCGTGCGAGAATTTGAGACGGAAGTCAAGATTATGAGCTTTCTTCACCATCCAAACATCTGTATGCTGCTTGGGGCGTGTCTGGCTCCCGAGAACCGAGCGTTAGTGATTGAACTCGTGGATCAAGGCTCACTCTGGGCAGTACTACGCACACAACGACGACAGCTTACAGATGAGATGCGTGCTCGATTTGTATATGACACGGCCCGTGGTATGAGCTACTTGCACCAGTTTGAACTGCCAATCCTCCATCGGGACATGAAAAGCCCCAATCTACTTGTCGAGCGCGACTACTCGATCAAGATCTCAGACTTTGGACTCTCACGTGTCAAGGCGCAGATCCAAACCATGACGGGCAACTGCGGTACTGTGCAGTGGATGGCGTACGTGACTTTTGATGACAACCTTTGATATGGATATTGGAATGAGAAACACTGACATAATTTACTTTTTGTGTGTCATATGTACAGACCGGAAGTGCTAGGTAACTGCAAGTACACGGAAAAAGCAGACGTGTTTTCGTTTGGCATTGTAGTGTGGGAGATCTTTACAGGTCAGTGTCCTTACGATGGCATGACGCAAATCCAGGTGGCACTAGGTGTGCTCAACCATGACTTGCGTCCACCGATTCCTCGTTCGTGTCCGCGTTTTTTTGCGCGCCTGATCCGGTCTTGCTGGATACGTGAGCCGAGTTTGCGTCCGTCCTTTTCGGATCTCATGCGGATGTTTGAACAGTACGTTGCACGTCAATAGCAACTGATTCATTCGACACGACATGATTCACGCTTTGGTACGAGAGGAAGATAAAACGATAAAAAATCGCTGGAAACGTATGGATGGGAAGGACGTTGCGGCATCGTCAATTATTATTTAGATGTCGCAGAGTGTACAATTCAAGGCAATGCAAGATGCGTCAGTACATGTAGTAACAATGGAAAGAAGGATACTTACTTATATGTGACTTGAGCATTCATGAGCTCTATATACTTGTATCATTTCATCAGTCAGTAGTCAGTAGATTGACTGGACTGGCTTCATGGCTGAAACTAATCCGATGGGTAACTGACTATCTGTAAGCCAGTAAGTAACTCCAGTATCGTCCCTATACTGTACTTTACACAAGATTTTGTCTATTGACACAAAATGTCATTGACGACGTCTATAAGAAATTGCATCATGATTGCAAGATTCAATGTATTGCACACCTTCTGATCGTATTATTAAATACTAGAGGTCATTGTACAATCTTCCTCAAATCATGACATCAAACGTCGACGTGGTTGGTTGTCTGTACGTTTTGGTCGATAAAAATAGGACAAATATCCTACTGATTCCACTAGATTAGGTCTATAATCCGTATCTTACGTCCGTCCATTCATCCTAGGAATAGGTCCCAATCGAATCTGGCTCTGAATTAATGGTACGTAGAGATCAGTCAGTCTTCCATTCTTCTTCCTCTGAGCAGACGCTTTGGTGAATTACTTGACAATAAATACTAATAGACAGAGAGACAGAGTGAGAAAGAGAGGAGGAGGGAGGAGGTGAATAAAGACACGACATACCCGATTCGATCTTTCTGTAGTGTCTGTATCATTAACTCTTTGGACAAATGAGTCGCAAGTGTCTTGAGTTAAAGCGACTTGTGATTGCACTGAGTGCTGCTTGTAAACAAGATCAAAACGTGTTAAAGGACTCTGAACTCGTCGATAGATTGGAGAAATATGGGCATGAGATTACACGTGTTCGTCCATTAAATCTCAAGACGAGATTGCCACGTCATTCAAGGCACAAGAAGACGAGCAAAAAAATTGAGGAAAAGAGTGAGAGTGAAAAGAAGAAAGCAACGGACGCGACGCCAAAGCGTCGGAAACTCTCAATGGATACAGAAACCAAGAGTGAGGAAGATGCTCTAGATTACAATCACCATTGTGACACGATGTCCATGTTTCCATCGATCGAACGACAGAAGAAACCGAAACGAGTGTGCACGGGAGAACGGTCTGGATCTATTCAGCACAGCAATAAGAAGGCTGGGAGGTTGATGGACTATGCAACTGACGTCGTTGACTGCTATCGACCGACGACAGTGGCAGTCGCGATCAATGCGAGTGAAGAAGCGATCATGGTGAACCCACTCAAGACACGACAGCATGATCACATGCGTCGATCCGTGTCACCGCAACAAAAGACTTTGCATGCTGGACGTGTTGCTGCTGCTGCTTTGCCGTACAAACAACTGGATCGTGCACCTTCTCCCAACAGTGTAGATTTGTTAGAGTCCTCGGCTTCAACCATGGCGTCATACTATGATGACATGTATGACGAGTACGCTGCGTGTCCCGAAATGATGCAGAGTTACACTCGCTCGGCCTTTGATCGTACATCTTCCTTTGAGTCAATGGACTGGACGCGATCGGATGATGGCAGCAGTGACGAGTCCATGCAATTCCGAAGTATTGCGGATGATGTAGGACAGAGACCCCTTGTGTCCAGAGTGGTGGCCCAGCGCTCGATCCATGCTGCTGGTACGCGGATCAATCATTTGCATCCGGAACACAGCACCGAAGCCTACTATTTAACAGAAAAAAATGAGCCCATTGCTGGTTCATCATCTCATGTCGCCTCTGTGACACAGAAACGCAACCCTCCTGTTGCACCTAGCTCGACGGAAGTCGTGATGGAGGTTTTGTATGGTATCATGGAGCACAATGAGAACTTTAAGTGGCTGATCGACCCAGTAAACCAGGCTCGTGTGGCCACGCTGGTCGAGTATCACATGAGAGCTAAACAAAACGATGACGTGTCAACTCAAGCTTATGAAGATAAGCAGTTTGTAAGTGAAGTTCGGGCACACGTGGACAAGTTGATACATGAGAACTTGAAAATGAAGACGGAGAATCTACGGCTAATGGGAAAAAGCTCGCAGTCTGCGGCTGTGGACAAGAATGCTGAGGAACTTCAGAGGCGCCTCGCAATGAGTGAGGAGGCTATTAGCATGCAGAAGGAATATCGTCGTGAAGCTGAGGCGACCTTCCAAAGGGAGCTTGAGACTAAGTCAAAGCTTGTGTCAAGTCTACAGCATGACCTTGAAAAGAAGGACTTGCAGATCGCCTCACTCTTAGAGAATGGCGCTGAGTTGCGTGCGAATGGCGATATGAATCGTAATCCAGAAGTCTGTAGCCTCAAAAACGCGATGATGGAAAAGAATCGTGAGATTTGCCGTCTCAACTTTCAGCTATCGACGAAGCAAAAGCTTGTCGATGAGATTGCCAAGAAAGTCATACAGCACATGGGGACCACACTAAACATTTCGTCTGGTGAGATTCTTGCGACACTCGCGAATGGTCTTCGTGTTGATGTGGACAAGTTCCTGTATGAGAGCTTAGCAAAAAAGCAGGAGACGATTGATGAGCTTAAGGCTGCTTTGTTGTCCATGGAGCACGAAGTGAGTGGGTTAGAAGCTCGAGTGGCCAAGAAGGTGCGTGATGCTTTACTGTTAAAGACAAAGTTCAAGTCATTGTCCTCGCGCTTGACTGAGAGTAACGTGAACATATCTCGCGTTCAAGCAGAGAATGAGTGTTTGGTGACGTCGTTGAAGGAAAAGCAAGGGAAAATGCACGACCTTCTTGAGTTTTTGGAGGGAAAGGAAAAGCAAGTTATGCATTTGGAAGAGCAGGTGAAGCTAAGTCAGACGCAATTGGAGCACGTAATGACGGAGTATGAGAAGATGCAGCGCCATCAGTTCGACAAGAAGAGCACGAGCGGTCATCACCTGTCTCATTGTAAGACAAATGTGCACGCTCAGTAAGCTCAGTCGTTTGTCTACATGGTCGTTCACATAAAGTAAGGTGGCAACATTGTCACTCTTTGTCAATTGCTTGGATGTTTCATCCTCTCGATCGAAGAAAATGTTAAAGACGAGGTGGTTCTTGCCATCTAGGAAGACAAAAGACGCAATTACAATCATACTGCCACCAAATCCAAGCACCTAACTAGTTCACGACATGAAGTGAACATATCGAGATCAAGATGCATGACGATTTTCGACGACGTCATTTTGTTTTTATAGTACTATCGATAGGCTGTATATATATACTACGATAGCGATGCAGGAGAAAAGCAATAAAACCCAGCTGAGGAAGTATGAGCGACGACTGACTTCTTGTTTGTAAAGAAGTGCTAATCGGTATATCCCAGACGACATGTTGGCGTACAAACAAATTCAACCGCATCTCATTGGAATCACTTTTTCTTTTGTTTTTCTTCCAACAATCTTATCGATCATGGATCTCACGCTACACTCTGCTGGCTAGGAAAAAGAAGATCATGACAGCACGTTGATGCTTGACTTCTCTGTGTATGACGTGGTATTTCTCGCAATCACACACACAACACACCTTAGATCGTCTTCTCATAGACCACGCGCTTGCCGACCCCCGAGTGTTTAATCTTGTTCGAGATTAAAGCACCTTTGCGACGCACAGGGCGTGACGTAGCGCCAAGTCCAAAGACAAACGACGCGATAAACAACAGAAAGAGTCCGACAAGCAGGAGAATAGGTACCCATACGGGAGCCGTGAAGAACGACGTAACCAAAAACGGAATGATCCAGAATGGAAACGTGAAGAAAGCCACCAGCATTGTCGGCACAGCAAAAGCCAGAAACACAGTGAGCGCTCCAGCGCCCATGATGCCCAATATCCCCGCCAGAGCGATACTGAGCTTGCGGTGTTTCTTGGCAAAATCCGTCGGCATCGAATTCGATACAAAACCACAAATAGTCGCCATGATCGAGCACAAACTTCCGACAAAAGCATCACGAGCATCCAGCAATTTGGTAGCACGTCCTGCTGCACGAAAAGCCTTGCGGACAGGTGGACCAAACCATACTTGTACAATCACTTCACCACGATTACCATTCAAATGAACTGTCGATTGAATTGGATCCGAGCTTTGATTTGCAACAATTGAGCTCACATCAAGTTGTCCCGACCCAATGAGTTCATGTCCCGTTTCATTTGCATAGACTTCAATGGTTAGTGTCGCTTTATTCTCAAGCAACTTGGCATCATAAAAGAGTTCCAATTCATTATTTGAACCTTCTCCCCATTCCGGATTTGTATTGCCATGAAAAGCAGGATCCGTTGTTGCCCATGATTTAGGATTTGAATCATCCAATTGTACCAACACTAGATAACAGTAAACAGAGAGAGAGAAAGAGACAACGATTAGTCCATCGATACATACAAAGAGAGACAAAGATTAGACGACTACAGTTGCTCGACGATAGAGAAAGCTCTCACCAACAGGATCTTGACGTTTGCCAAAGTTCATGGTCGGCAAATTACTGGCTTTTAACACCTTGACATGAATCGTTCCATTCATTGTGTTTACCACTGGATTTGTATGGAATTGACTTGTGGAGTGTAGTGGCAGTACAATCGATTCTTTACGTGCGCGTGGAGGGACAAGAGGAGCACGCACTTCGTCGATAGAAGTAGCTGAAGCAGGAGCAGGAAGTTTACGAGTGAGATCAGACTCGGAAGATGAAGAAGAGGACGAGGACGATGGTATGTCAGCTACGGGACGAGTTGAAGTAAAAGTCGATGGCGTTTCTTGGTCTTTTTCTTCTGTTTCTTGATCTAGTTGACGTTTAGATTTCCGTGCCATATAAGCTCTTGTGGGAATGGCAGCACGTTCTTAACTGGCAGGAGGCGAGTGGATTGTTCGTAAAATAACGCCAGCTGGAATGATTATGAAGGGTTTATGGGTGAAATTTGAATATGGGTGGGAAAAAACACTGGGTTTTGAAATGGGATTGGAAAAGAGTGGGTGTTTTTGTGTTTTATCCAGTGTGAAAACATGTTTTACCCAGAATGCAAGACGTTTGAGCCACCCAACTTGAAGTGAAAAATATAGAAGTCCATGAAATTGCGTCATCTATTTGATACGGACCGGAATATGGAAGCCATATGATTGGACAGAAATTATACTACAGCCATCTCATTGGCTGAATCATAGTCGCATTTGTCCTTGGTCCCACAAATGCATACTAACGACTTCAACGTGTTAACTAACAACTGTGTGTGACACACGATATCACGAAATCTTCCACTTTACGTGTTCTTATACAGGATGTGCTTATAAAGTGATGTCGTCGGATGGCCAACCAGAAATCTGTGACGTGCGCAACAAGTGATCTCTTCCTTTAGTCGTAATGCCGAAGGATAAGAAGAAGCGTGCACGTAACGTTGGCACCGATTCAGCATCACAAAATGCAATGGGGCGTACATTAGCGACACCAAATACAAACTTAGGGCAGCATTTCCTCAAGAATCCCATGATTGTGACACAAATTGTGGCCAAAGCGGCGATTCGTGGCACAGACGTGTGTCTTGAGGTTGGTCCTGGTACTGGTAACCTGACAGTAAAGCTACTAGATCAGGCTAAGCGGGTGATAGCTGTGGAGTTTGATACACGAATGGTGGCAGAGCTGCAGAAGCGTATCCAGCACACGGAACATATGAACCACTTGCAGATCATTCACGGAGACGTTATGCGCGTGCAGCTACCATTCTTCGACGTGTGTGTAGCCAATTTGCCGTACCAGATTTCGTCTCCATTTGTGTTTAAGCTACTGGCTCATCGTCCGATGTTTCGTTATGCTGTGATCATGTTCCAAGAGGAATTTGCTAAGCGACTCAGTGCCAAGTGCGTGGCAAATATTGACATTCACTCGACTTTGATGATGTTTAGACAAGACTGACGATACTGCATTTATTTATGTAGACCTGGTGAGGATTTGTACTGCCGCTTGTCCGTAAACACGCAATTGCTGGCTAAAGTAGATCAGCTACTGAAGGTTGGTCGCAACAACTTTCGTCCACCGCCTAAGGTTGAGTCACGCGTGGTTCGTATCGAACCGCGCAACCCACCGCCGCCAGTAAACTTCACGGTATGCATTGTAGTTTTTGTTGTTGTTGAGGAGACCAGACTAATGTGTGGATGCATTGCGTGGCGACAGGAATGGGATGGAATGATTAAGATCATTTTTAACCGTAAAAACAAGACGCTGCACTCATGCTTTGTGACAAAATCAGTGCTGAAGATTCTAGAGGAAAACTACAAGACGTACTGTTCACTGAACAATGAGGTTTGATAAGGCTTCTTTGCGTTGTTGAAATGTGTGAAGCAGTTAATAATTCACGTGTCTATACGGAAAATTGCAGCTTCCGGAAGGTGACCTTGACATGAAGAAAAAGGTCGAAGAGGTGCTGACTTTCGAGGACTTTGGTGGAAAACGTGGTGCGAAGATGGATCAGGATGATTTTTTGCTGTACGTGTCGACGTTGCCATCATTTTGATTTTTAATGTTTGTGATGAAGAAAGTTATGGATACTGATTGTCGTTGCTTGTTCATCTCTAGACTTCTGGAGCGTTTTAACGCGAGCAAAATTCACTTTTCGTAGACCCACTATCATCAGATAGTCCGCAATCGTCTTATCATTTCCACTGCACGTTTGATCTTGACTCGATCGTGCATGAAGGTGTAATGTCCCTGCTTTTTTATTGGTATATAGATTTCACCTTTTGTCTGTTTTGTCCATCTTGATCTCATGGTCATTCCAATCACGATGTAGCAGCAGAAGCAGTCGTGGGTGCAATTGTAGTGGCATAAGCCCAAACTGTGCGACAAAACGTATGGCTAACGAAGTGCGCAATGAACACAGCAAAGATGCCGTGGAATTGACACTGACAAAGACGACGAGCAATGGTTGCTTTAGCAAAGATGCTACTCACGTAGTTGAAATCAGCAAGGATATGGAAAGGTTGATAAAGCTACACAAAGGCATGAAGACATTGCAATTGCAACCCTGCCGCATGCCTACAGTATTTCGTAGACTTCACTTAACATTCAGTTACTTGCATTCAAAGGTTCACACTCGACGGCATTACCTCGTATCCACCTCCGCTTCTTCCTCATTCTTTCGCTTCCCCATGCGCACATTTACGTTCGCCGACTGCATTTCCTGGTCACTTTGAAATGGCACATCTTCGCTTTCTGATTCATCATGGTGCTGACTATCAACATCAATTTTGCTGATGCCTGATACCTTGTCACTATTACTCAACATCTCATTTCGTTCACGTCGTGATCGCTTCCGAAGTTGCAAGGAGTGCGTCGAATCGGTATCGTCATCGGACAAAGCCGTGCGTTTGCGTATGGATGACTCTTGTCGATTATCACGGTCGTCCTGTTTTCCATCTGCAGTTATCTTAGCAGCACTTTCTCCTTCAGCACCTGCACTACATGCACTTTCATTTTCCTCTTCGCTCTCTTCTGCAATGGATGTTGTTTGCATCGGTGTAGGTTCGGAGCTAGCAGACCGCCGCATACGTTTCAATGGTGGTGAGTTACGTACTTCAGTAAATGTTCGGGTCCTTCCATTTCCAACATTACCGGAGGTAATCGATGCCTGAAAGTCAAATACAACCCGCCATCTAGGGTCCAAGTCTTCATTGTCATCAGGGATATCGCGTATATTTCGTAGTTGCTCCATAAAATAATCATGCAGCTGTGCCATGCTTGAGTTGTCCAGGTGCGACAGATATACGCGCATTGTTTCTAAAAACTCAAACTGGGTAGGTTGTTCTAAAGAATAGCGGACACCTTCACGGATGAACCGAAAAAATGGAACTCGCAATGCCGCAGGAATTTTTCCGACGCCAAGAGACTGACTGAACCTCTTTGCTAGCTCCTTCAACTCACGATTGCTGCTGTCCACCTTCTCCTTCAAATCTTCTACCTCCAAAACATGATCCTCATCTTTGCCTGGTTCAGCTGTTTCGATGTCTTGCTTCCAAACTAGAATCGAGCTAAACATTTGGCGAAGCGCTGTCATTTGAATTTCGAGGTAACGCACGGGAGCATCAATTTTCACTTGTTTGCCAAATGCCTTCACCACATCGACACTAGGCTTGCTACTCGATGTGAAATACTGTAAAATTGCAGCAGCTTGGTGTTTCTGTCTTGGATTGCAGAGAGACACACGACCAAGTGCTACTAGCACCTCAGCTTTGTGTTGCTGCTTTTGTTTCCAGTCATTGATAGCATCCTTGTTGTTCTTTGCAGTCTCGGGGTCATTATTCTCTGTATTATCTTCAAATTCTGGCTCTTCGTCTTCAACGTCATCCATCTCTCTCTCAAAGTGCATTTGTGTGAGCAAAATTAGCACTTTTGGCAAAGTCCAATTCAGTGCATTGTATGGAGCTGGTGCGTCCTGAAACTTCTCCACAAACAGACATCGTGCATCGCAAAACGTTATAAAAGCAAAGCGTTGGGCTTCACGTACGTATGATGTCACATCCTCGTCCTTAAACTCGATCTCTTCCATCGACTCCATCAATTGATGCTCATCATGAGTTTCTTCGCTTTCGTTTTGTTCGTCGTCAGCAACTTTATTGGTTCTAGCCAGGTGCATCTCCAGTACAGAAATTAACACCTCTTCAAGCGTGGATCGCGATCGATATACTTGTTGGATCTGGACCTGGATAGAAGGACTAGCCACGGTCCCAGTAGTTTCGCTCTTACTTTCTGATAAGTCTTGCTTCTTCTCTTCTACGATCATTCTAAAGACTGGCGAGCTGATCCACAACAGATCCAAATAAATGATTGTCAGACCGTGTTTAATGGTGTCGACGTACCGAAATCCTTCATGTAGCTCAGACACTGATTTCGTCCGCCGGCACAATAACACTCCCACCGCCGAGATAAGTTTGTCAAACCGCTGCAAATCCGGTACGGGCATGTGGTCATTTGTTTTGTCCACTCCATATGATAAGTCAGAAGGAATGTATATCCGCACATTCACATAGCTCGCCAAGCACTTAAGTCGACACAGAGAGTTACGCAGGGCGTACTCGACGTCCGATATTTCCTTCGTTGTTGGACTCCTTTTCGCTTTCCTGGTCCGTCTGCTGCTCATTTCGAAGTTGCCAGCGCCTGTAGTAACACATGTCTCGTACAACTTAAGGTCAGCTTCCAAAAGCCGATCAAGTTTGTCAATGACCTCTTGGACTAGCTCGTGCATAATCGCTTCTACCTCCCGTTTCAGCGAGGCGTGTTCAGTTTGCAGCAAATGTGCTACGGAAAGCGATAAACTCGATAATAACTCTTTATCAGAGTGCAACAGAAACGCGTGCTTCAGCTTTTCAAGAAGCTCTTTGATATGAACGCTATGGTGGCCAATCACCTCACTCTTTAGTGACAACATTGGAATCAATTGCAAGAGCAATAATAGCTTGTCCGAATCCGCTTGATATACAACAAACAAGCTGGGGATATCTTTGCAATACGCAACGGTAATTTCTTCCTTTAATTGCAACAGTTCACAATATCTTGTTAGTAGCAGCACAGCTACAAACTGTTTTGTGTAAAATACTACAAAAGAAGGTAGTACGTACTTGCAACTGCTCAGACTCTCGTCTAGCACCAGAATTCACTCCACGGTTAGCACCATCTCCCACGAGCTTGGTTACAGACGCCACAAGAAGTCGCAGCAAAATAGTTTGCTGGTCGCTGCTCAGATCTGGTGCCATTTTGTCCACTAAAAGCAAATCTGTCATCAGTCTCCAATCTTGAAGGACAACTGCAAAGGCAAAGAGCTATGTCAGTCGTCAAACACTCTCGATTACATGATGGATACCTAGAACTTACGACAATCCTCTAGACCCCAGAAAGCATCGACAAGCGTCTCCACTGCGCACTTTGGGACACCGTGATTTTGAATGTATTCCTCTGCAAACTCTACCAAAGCAATTGCCTGAGTATTGAGCTGTTCTTTCTTTAGCTGTGCGTTCTTTGTCCTTGACACTGCAACTCCAAATGCATCATATTGAAGACAAACAAACTCTGCGGCTGCTCTACGGATGTCTTCACGCTCGGCATCAAACACTAACCTCTCAACGAGAGATATCTCGATATCGGAGCTAATGAGACTGCATTTGTCAACGGCAATGAGAAGATGGATACTTTGTTCAACAACAGCGTCGTCTATATCGTTGCAGAGCTCCAAGTAACGTGGCAAAAAGCGAGAGTTAAACAGCTCCAATCTTTCCGTGAACGCATCATTCTCGTACAGCTCACACAAAATCTCGACCACTTCAAGGCGAACTAACGCTGACTTGTCGCTTAGAAGCCAGCCAAGATACTTCAGATAATTGTCCTTCAAAAAATGATCAGGCAAGGTGGTGATCCAGTGCCCAAGACACTGTATGCTTGACACACGAATCTCTGGCATTACATCGCGGTATCGATGCACCACGACTCCAGTAAATATCAAATTGACGAGCTTTAGCACCTCCTCAAGCCGACTCTCATAAAGCGCTTGATTTTCCTGCAGAAGGGCCACTTTTTGGACATTTGGACTTTTAGTAGCGCCAGGCGTAGTAATACCAGGCGAGCTTGTTTCCGCGTTCAGCTGTCTCTTTGCTATTGCCAAATGCTCGGAAATACTCGCAACAATACGCACTAACCCATTGCTCAGCGCTAACACAGCAACAGTCGAAGTATGTCGTATTGGCCGAAGTTCGGAGCTACAACATATAACGTCAAGTTAGTCAACCCCCTCCATCACGTAATACACTACTCCAGTCAGTCACCTTGATAAGGTAGTTAGCCAGTCGATAAAATTATATGCAAGATCTGACGTAAGTAAAATCTCGCTTTCGTAGCACTCCTTTACAAATGCTTCCCAAAACTCCTCAAAATGAAGCTGGAACTTCTTTGCATTCTTTCCACGAGACAATAACAGATATTCGCCATTTGCATTCTCAAGATCCTCCATCACGTGATTAACCAAATCTCCCATTTCCAGCTGATCTAATGACGTTAAGTGAGGAACGCATTGTTCAGTACCTCCACAGACCTATAAACAATAAATTAACGATGTCAGCTCTCCCTCGTACCATTCCAAAGCCTCAATGTCAGTACTTCTATCTACCTGCAGCACTAGATTCAGCACTTCCTTCGTTGCTTTTTCGCGGTCCTTCTCAAACCGATCGTGCCACTTACTCATGAGATTCTCCAACGACAATTTACCTTTCTTAATCGCCTCTATCATGTCCAATGATTACATTCACAATCAGTACAATTCACATTCTATCACAACACAACACAATCTCCAAGCTACTATCAATCATCAGTACCAAATAGCGACTGTCCCTCGTCGTTCAGATCGTCATTCTGCACAACTACATCTGCCACATTCTCTACGTCTTTCAATGCTGCATGTTTCTTTTTCGTCTTGCCCTCTCCAATCGATCGTAAGCTCCTCATTTGACTCCATGGAGAACGCTTGCGTCTACTGGGGTTCATCTTAGCTCTTGGTGTCCGCGCTATTTTCTGTGCACTTCGAGGTCTCCCAATCTTCGTTCCAGAAGGCGTAAATTCCTCGTCCTTATCATTCCGTTCTTCATCACTACATGCATCATAGTCACACATTAAACAATTCCCTTCAGCAATCAAACGCTAGTCAAGAAGAAAAATGAAAGGAAAACGGCCGCGGATAATGCGCAAAAGACCATCATTCGCGAGTCCGCACTGGTAAATACAATACCTGCTTTCCTCGTGGCGATCGTTAAATGCTAGTGTATCTTGTTCTTCCTCTTCTATATTCATATCATCATCACTGATACGTGTATCTTGTACTTGGTACATCGGCGTAGGCTTACGTCGCTGACGAGAACTGCGCCGAACGCTCATCATGAGAGTGCGGAATGCGTTTATCAACTGACAAGAGCAAAAGGCAATCACCCTCTACAAGAACACATCATGTCAACCAGTTCGTATATAGGGATGTTCATGTGTTTGTTTGATGTAGCCATCACAGATGGATTGATTCGATCTTACGTTTGATTGGTAGAAACTTTGCTATAAATGGCCTCCAGTCAATAATGGAGAGCTCAGTGCGGAATTGCAGCGCTCGTTGTCAAGAGAATCATCCTCATGGGCCTAAAGCAGATGCAGGAGAATGATCTTGTGATGACCATTGCGTCCGATGAAGACTTATCTGATGTAGCAGATAGTTTAGAATCATCTGATGTAGAGGATATGGAGCTCAAGGGCGCTGTGCTTAGTCGAGAGCAGCAGCTCAAGGAGGCGCGGCAGCATCAGAAGGAGAGCGAGATTGCCGAAGACTTTGAGTTTGACGATGGTGGCACGTTTTACACGTCGGGTGGCAGTTCATGGGACTTTACAGCAGCCATATCGCGTATTGAGAAGATGGAAAGCGGTATTCCAACGGCTACTAAGCGTACGTCTATTCAGGCAAAGATTGATAAGAGACGACAGGAAAAGGAGACAGAGAAACAGATGAAAAAGGAGAAGAAACAAAAGAAGAAAGAAGAGAAGCAGGTGGGTACAAAGCAGAAGAAGAAGAAGAAGAAGAAGAAAGAGGAGGAGGAGGAGAAGGAGGAGGAGACTGAAGGATGTGATGATAGTGAAGATGAGAAGGAGAAAGTGGAGGATTCTTTTGATGAAGAGAAGCAGGAGATGGAAGAAGAGGATGTGGTGGTGGAGGAAGATCGTTTGCAGTCAGCGTTGAAAGATAGTAAAAAGGACCAACAGTCTCGTGAAGAGCTAGTAGACGCACTGGAGAAGAAGAAGGCGGCTGAGTTTTTTGAGTCAGACCCATTTGCAGCACAGGAATTTGCTAAAACCAAATTCGAGACCTTTGCTGACTTGAAGTTGTCACGTCCGCTCATGCGCGCTATCTCACATATCGGTTTTGAGAAGCCGACGCCAATTCAACAGCGAGCGATCCCTATTGCACTTACGGGAAAGGATATCTGTGCTAGCGCTCAAACAGGAAGTGGTAAGACTGCGGCTTTCCTTTTGCCTATCTTAGAGCGTCTCCAATTCCGTTCCCGTCGCGTGCAGTCAACGCGAGTGATGATTATTTGTCCTGTGCGTGAGCTTGCGACGCAATGCCAGGCGATGTTTGAGCAGTTGGCGCGTTTCACGGACATTACCATCTCCTTGGCTGTTGGCGGTTTGCCTCTTAAGGCTCAGGAAGCTGAGCTGCGTAATCGTCCAGACGTTGTGGTTTGTACCCCTGGCCGTATGATCGATCACCTGCGCAACTCGAAGAGTGTTCACATGGATGACCTAGAAATTCTGGTTTTGGATGAAGCTGATCGACTGCTTGAGTTAGGTTTTACTGAGGAGGTGCTGGAGCTTGTCCGCATGTGTCCTGTGCAGCGCCAGACGATGCTGTTCTCTGCTACGATGACGTCAAAGGTTGACCAGCTGGTTGACTTGTCGATGAAGCGCCCTGTGCGTATTAGCACTGACCCGTTGTTTGATATGGCCAAGCATTTGGTGCAAGAGTTTGTGCGTATTCGTCCAAACCGTGAAGATGACCGTGAAGCAATTCTGTTAGCGTTGTGCACGCGTACGTTCCGAACGAACACGATTGTGTTTATGGAGACGAAGTCGCATGCGCATCGAATGATGATCATTTTTGGCCTTGCTGGTATCAAAGCGGCTGAACTGCACGGTAATTTGGTGCAGAGAGAGCGGCTTGAAGCGCTTCAGAAATTCCGTGATGGCGCGGTGGATATTCTTTTGTGTACCGATATTGCTGCTCGTGGTATCGATGTGCGTGGTGTACACGCTGTCATTAATTATGAAATGCCAAAGGATATTACAACGTACGTACATCGTGTCGGTCGCACGGCGCGGGCTGGTCGCAACGGCCGTGCTGTCACGCTAACTAGCGAGTCACGTCGTTTGGTAATGAAGCAGGTGTCACGCCATTGCAAGGGGTTCGTGAAATCCCGTGCTGTTCCCGATCCCGTTATTGCGCAATGGAAGGCCCGCATTGAGAGTATGCAAGAAGATATGAAGCTGGTAATGCACGAGGAGACGCTTGAGAAGCGCATGCGTGAAGCCGAGAAGGAGGCTACTCGTGCCACAAACCTTTTGAGGCACCACGACGAGATCAACTCCCGTCCAGCGCGCACGTGGTTTATGTCTGAGAAGGAAAAGAAGAATGTGAATGAACGTGCTGATACCGAGCGTCGCGCCAAGGAGGAAGCTGCTAAGGAAGAAACAGAGACTACCGGTACTATGTCGCGCGTGAAAAAGCTAAAGCTCATGAGTCACAAAAAACGTCGGCTATTTGAAATTCGTGAGCGCGAAGAGCGAATGCTGGCGGACGCTGCTCGAAAGGACGAAGAGGGTATTGAAAACGGTAAGAAAGGTGCTGCCTTCACATCGATGCACGTTGCTGGTGCTGCGAAGCGTGCCAAGAAAGTCCAGCAGCAAACAGCACGATCGCGTGAGGAAGAGTCTATTGCAGAGATACATGAACGGAAACGCCTCAAACGTGAAAAGGCTCGTGCTATGCGTAGCAGCCACGGTGTTAGTGCATTTGACATTGACATGACGCATGATGGTGCGATGACGCCGAAGTCCAGAAAACAGCGTGACGCAAGTGCTTGTTCCAACCCGTTCGAGTTTAAGGAGAAAATCACGGACTACAAGAAACATGCCAAGAAGAGCTCGAGCTCTTTTAAGTCCAAGGCAAAATACAAGCGGCGCAAATAGAGATAGACGTGAGACACTAGCTAGCTGTGTCTTTGGCATTCAGGAGAATGCCAATGTTTTCCTTTGTTCGTGGCTTACAGTGATTTGTTAGCTGGAACATTCCTTGCTTGCCGCCTCTTTCGGTTACAACACATTCATCATATAAAAGCCCTCAAGTCACGCATACGCTTTCATGTTCATCTTTATGTAATGCGTATACATGCAAATAAGAAAGCAAACTTATCACACAGCACAACTATTCCTTTGCTTGCCAAATAATGGTCAAAGCAATGCCATACACAAGCTTAGCCAAAGCCAAAGCCCTCGGAGCCTTCTCGGATTCCAAGCAAAAGACATTGCTTCAACTTTTCCTCACTTTCATACTCGGGCAGATCCAGTTGGTTGAAACTGCAACAAGAAGCATAAACCACACGCCGTTAGTCATACGCATTAACTCAAAACACAATCAATGCACTCAGACAATACTTACCATGTATGTGCGGATGGCAATGCACTGTTGTTACCAAATGCCTTGTGAATGTTAAATTTTTGTGTACCGCGCATACCTTCCAGCGCCTTGAAACCTTCGAGAGGCACCTTCGAAGTACCTGTCACAAACTGCAGAAAAAGCGCACGCTCTTCGTGTGTGAATGAGTACAAGACGTTCCAGAACCAGCGTATTACCGAGTCCGTAGGCTTGTAATTGGCATAATCCGTATTGGCCTTCAAGTCATCAATATCAATCTCAGGCATACCCGAGATAAGCAACTCGAGTTCGTTCTCGTTAAAAATTGCAATCAACTCTGGTGGTACCAGCTGGTGGAACCCCTTCAGGAACGCATCAATCTGCTGACGTATACCTGTCGCCATGCGATGATGAGTGATTAATTTTACATAATCCATCTTGTTCGCATCAGTCACAGGCACGTTCCTGCCGTTGGGAATCAAGTCAACCACCTCCACCTTACCAAAATTAGACTGTTCAGCCGAAAAAGTTAGTTCCAGCCCAAGATCTCGAATCGGACTGTCCAGAATCGAATGAAGATTCCGGTAGTACTCCGGGTCGATCGCTTCCATGTCGTGATACGAAATTGGCAGCTGCAAGATATGTTTGTAAAATGAGCGCGTAAAGTGGGCATCAAGTAGCTGACCGTCTGCCACCGCCTTACCTAGCACTTTTCCAACGAACTCAAAGTAGCTTAGGTGATCTTTGTTCACATATGACAGAGGATTCGGCTGAAAAGTAGGCGAGTCCGCTGCTGACGTGAACAACACATAATTTGGGTTGAACATCTCGCGAGCCAATATCATGTACCACTCTCGCGTGACACCACCGGCATCAATACCTTCTTCGCCTGTGAACGTAATGTGCAGTTTTCGCCGCAATTCAGTACCGCTGCGCATACGTAGCGCATAATAAGAGTCTTCGAATATATGCTCGCGGCGTACAGGAATGCGCACGGACGAGCTACCGCCACCGTGACTTCGCAGCGCCGCTTGACGAAGCCGCTTCATGGCGCTGTGAAAGTATGTACGCTTGTTGTCGAACGCTAGATAAGCTCGACAGCGAGGAATCTTGATTAATGCTGCCAAAGACGTATCCAATAAAGATGGCCTTTCCCGTACTAGTAAGTTCAAAAGTACGCGATTTGACTCGACAAAGTTTGCAAGTCTCATTGTCTCATTTGCCTCGGAAACTGACGACAAAGCTGATGATGAGCTGCGCTTTCGCACACTTTTTGACGATGACTTTTGTTCCGAATCATCCATTAGCGCTGTTGCATTAGCACCATCGAATCCGCCAATACTTAAGGCTGCCACAACTGCTTCTTCGCGCTCGCTAGAATCTGGCAAACGCAACGTCATGGATGCCGCATCCCGAGCATTAACAACAAAAAAAGCCTCCACCATAGGAAGGAACCGTGCCAAAAGCGCTGCCATCGCGCATGACGCACCCGCGCTTTTGCCTTCAATCACAGTTCCCTCGGCATCGTCGCCTGCGATGCCAGGCTGGCCTTGAAAACCAGTCGTTTGAGGAGCGTGGACGGCAGAAGGGGCAGCTAAAGTACCAGCAACACTGCTATCATGATCACCAAGATCACCCTTCGCACGCGCTTCCGTGAGAGACGAGCTCAGGGAATCCCACAGTGGATCCAAACCAATAGTTTGGCAGCACTCAGTAAATTCGGCAGTACTCTCGCAGACATCTGACAATGAGTGCAGTAGCCGTAGCAACTTGAGCTCATCCTGAGCCAACGGCAGCACAGCTGACGACTCAAACCCAGAAGGTGAGTTTTCTCCATTGTAACGGTCAACATGAGCCAGCGTGCTAGCATGCCGTACAACCGCATTGATGACAAGCTCGCGGTTGCCACCCACGTGGTTCAACAGCTTCAGCACTGCAAGTGTGCGCTCTTGCATTTGAGCCGTACACAAATCCATGCCCAATACGGACACTATTATACCCATGCGAGCTTCGTCCAGCTCCACAGCCGGGACTGCCACCCATTCGCCGCCACCTTTTAAGGCTGATGTGTCGCCTTCATCGCCTTCCTTTTTCTCCTCGTCATCGCAATTTGGTGTGTGTAACCGCTCAAGGGGTGACAGAACCAGTTCAAGTAACTCAAGCAGCGCATCCAAATTTGTACCGTTGCGATACACGACCGGCAATGCCAGCAGGTCGACCAGGACGGCAACGCCACATTCACTAGAAGACGGTGTCTCCAACTTCGTTGGCGTGCACTTATCATTCGAAGCAAGAAGCATGCCGTGGGGTAGAAGCATTTCCACCGTGAAACGTGGATTATACTTTGCAAGTGACACGAGAACATGTAACATCCGGTTCACCACTTCAGCAGGTACTGATGACCCACAAATAGTACGGTTTCCTGCTATACCACATCCATACATCGTGGTCGGTGGGAATTCAATCTTACCGTTACCATCATCGTCGTCATCTTTATCCTTGCCGGGAATCAAGCGCTCTGGAAGCGGTAGTGAGATCACTTGCAATAAGTTACGCCGAACGCTGCATCGTGTCAGCGGATATAGGCAAATATTTGCGAGCAGTCGCTGAAACACACGATTTTGTATAACGGATTGCGTCATAAAAAGAAGTCGCAACAAACCGCGTACGCATTTGTCATCAAAGATTCGCTCACCGACATCCTCTTCCTCATCTTTCTCCACACGCAATAAGCCCTTGTGAGATCTCGAATTCTCAGTACCTAAAAGATAGTCACGGCGGCTGCTACGACGTCCTCCAAATTCGTCATACATACGAGACCGCCGACGGCTACTACCTCTTTCTGGGCTATGAGAGGTCAGCATACGTCGTAAAGTAGGGCGATTAAATAATTCGTCCATGTCGCCTTCACCGTTACCACCTCCCCGACTCTCGGTACGGCGGTCGCGTTCACGATATACTGAGCGGAAGGCCGCACGTTCACGCAGGACGGTGGCTTCTGCACGCACTTGCGATGGCAGAGTCTGCAAAAACGCATCGTCGCAAGTAACTAAAATTTCCTCGCGCAATTCTGGTGCCAGCGAAGCCACAAAAGAAGCATTATCCATTTCTTGAGCGCGAGATGTGTCTGCGATCGCCGCGCGAGCGGCAGACTCACGCTCGCGTCGCTCATTTTCTAAAACCTCAGCACGGATATCAGGTGGCAGCGCTTCCAGTGTCTCACGATCGAAGCTCGAGTTCGCCATATCCAGGTCCATCTGTGACATACTTTCAGAGCCGCCTCCGCCACCACCAGCCGTGGCCGTATCACTGCGAGCACCGGCGGATTCAGAAACCGCCGGTGCACTCTGCGCAACAATTTCTGCTTGCATATCTGGAGGCAACGACGCAAACACTTCAGCATCCATACCTTCAGGGCACCGGTACTCCTGCTGCTGCTGCTGCTGATGGTGATGATCAAGTAATGCAGTCGACAACTCCTGCGTGACAGCTTCTACGGATGATGTCGGTGTTTCTGTCAGCAACAGCTCCTCTGACTTCGACTCTTCCTCAACTAGCTCCTCTGACTTCGACTCTTCCTCAACTGCCCTTCCTTGATTAATACTGTCACTACCGATAGGCTGCAAAGAGGCCGTGCCGAAACTAGTCAAATCGAGGGTGAAGTTCATCATCAAATTAGAAGTGTTAGATGCTGCTGCCGTAGAAGCTGAAACCGACATTGGAGCTGAAAGCACAGCTGTAATATCAGAAGTAGTTTCTGGTGTCCCAGATGAGAATCTTGTTGCCGTCTCTTGGCCTTCTATTGTACTTTCCGCCTCTGCATCGACAATGTCCAAATCTGCATCAGACTGAGGTGGCGACCGCAGCAGCGACGTTTCTCCGAGAGTGCTAGTAAGCTCTAAAACAGAAGCTGCTTCCGTCGCCGGGTCGGATTGCTCGATTCGGTTGCTGTTCGCTAGGATATCCGTTTGATTGCCGCTCTCTTCAGCGCCATCACGCGCGCTAGTTTCGCTTGCAGCATGTTCTCCGCTCCATGGTATCTCGTTAGCACTACCAACTTCCATTATATCATCAACATCCTCCCGCTGCTGAGAAGAAGTTTCTTCTGCTTGCACAGAAGCAGCAGTCACACTAGACTCATCGTCATCAGCACAAATGCGCGTAAGCTGTTGCTCAAGCCGTGACGCCACCGACCGGATATCCACATCACGACCGACACCACTCGGCCTCCAAATAGCCGCATTAGACGCTGTACCTCCAATCACGTCACCACTTCGACTGTTAAGACCACGTGATAAATCCACTCCGACGAAAACGTCACTAAAAATATCTCGATCATTTCGTCGTAAACCGAGACGCTGGTTTCGAGAAGGCAGTGTTGAGATCGGAATATCTAGCGAAAACTCACTAAGCAAATTGGATACAGCTGATAGACGATTGATTCGAGTAGGTGGTCGCCCTCGATTTCCACTTCCACGTTGCAACAAGTCACGACCTAATCCTAGCCGTGGTCTGCTCCCGCCAAGCGGCAGCTGTGTCTGAACTTGGTCAGTCAACTCTTGCAACTCGCGTAAAAGAGACGAATGTCGAGGAAGCGAATATCGACCGGGATTGCGCAGCAATCCGTTGGCATCCAATACGATGGAGTCCCCACGTCGATGCGCGCGCAGCAGTGGATGAGTAGTGGTAGTGTCGAAGCCAAACTGGTCAACACCGCTACTGCTAGAGCGGCCCAGTCGTTCGCGACGCGATCTATCACCCCTACTACCTCTTGCGTCAAATGATTCAAAGAGAAAATCGTCATCAAGCATTTCTGGTAGCTCTTCGATATACTGGAGAAGTGAAGTAGCCATACTGCCAGAGTTACTACCCGATCGGCTTTGGGGACCGGAAGAATGATACCCAGACCCAAGTCCACTGCTTACACGACTTATTGGCGTAGCCAAAACGACTTGGGTCTCACCTATCTCAATATCGTCTTCAACATCACCAAATGTTGGCACGAGAGTCTGGCCATTCGACACGGAGCGCGACCCACTTCCACCGCTGTCGTACAACCCAAGTGCATCGCGCATGGACTCGACCAGACTATCCTCCGAGCTTCTTGCCAACTGGCTTCCTTCACTAAGACTTTTACCCCGTCTAGCATTTCGAGCTTCTGCTAGACGAGTGCGACGCCGTTGTTCTTCTGCAAAGAACGCTTCGTCATCTAATAGGTTCAAATAAGAGAACTCGTCTTCGTCAACTTCATCCAGTGCATCCAGAATCGACAGCTCGGAATCAAGAGATCCCCAAAGACGATTTGAAGACGGGCGACGACTTGATTCGTGACCACCCGTACGGCGAGACATGTGCAGATGCTGATGCTCTTCAAACTCTTCTTCATCATCTTCGTCTTCATTGTCGTCGTCATCATCGTCATCTTCATCGTCCTCATCGTCATCTTCATCGTCATCATCTTCTTCACCTTCCCCTTCATCCGTAGAATGATCTGAAACACTGCTGCGATCGTCTCCATTATGCTCCTCATCCTCGTCATGCATGACGTGGTCGTCCATTTCGGATAGTGGAGATCGCATTGAAATGTCGTCATCTTCTTCGCCTAACGGATAAAACGTCGTCTCATGGGAATGTGCTGGATCTTGAACAGTTACATCCACCTCCATGCTGCTAGCGCGATTAGCACAATCCCTTGTATCACGAGTCTCCGGTAACAATGAAGCTGGAGTTGAAGCCACCACAATTGAGGCCGATGGCTCTACACTGGATTCGTTGTTGGAGCTGTCTCGGTCACCCCCTGCTAAAGTCGCATCGCCTACAATGGTTGAGCTGCCATTTCGCTTCTTCAACAAACGTCTTACGCGGTGTGTCACAAATGAACGCGTCAGCGTCGACAGCGGGCGTAGCAGCATCGTGCAGGTAGCGTGTGCTAATGGATGAGTCAGGTCAATCTTTCGCAAAGCTTCGGCAAGTAGCGTCACAAACGAATGTTTGCCCTTTAAACCTCCTCCCAGCACAACCTTATCCCAAGCAAACCCTTTTGAAGAACCCTTGGGCCACAAAATACTCATGATCAAACCTGACCATGCGTGCAAAGAACTCAAAGCTTCTTCATCTCGCACGCTCAAGTCATAATTCTCAATTGCAAGAGTTCTATCATCAATTTCTGGCCACTTCTGAAGTAAGTGGACAAGATCCAAGATAATACACTTCGAGCCTTCTCCAGAATGACTGCCGATGCTCACTAGGAGTCTATGCGCATTATACACACGCATTCTTGTACGACAATCAACGAACGCTTTGACATCCGTAACAAGCAGATCTACATCACCACTACCAAGCCTGTTGTTTCCGTAATATCCATCCTCCTTCAGTGCCTTGCGAGATGCAGCAAACTCGCAAAGTCCACGAGAAGGTAAAAACTCGCACAATACCAAGCGAATAAAGCTCCCGCGCTCTCCATGCGAACCAATTTCATCTTTTGTCTTAGCCAGGACAGTTGCGCATGCAGGAAAGTAAGTAATTAGATGAACCAGTAAATACAAGTAGACACCGACACACATTCCTCCGGACAAAGCTTCGATCTCGTCACCCAGTATGACTTGTTGTTTCTTGGCATGCTTTTCGGCAGCCCACAATTGACGGATGCGACCAATGATCTTGTGCACAATTACGTGAGCATGATGTTTGTGATCCTTGGAGAACTTATGTGAAGTTTTTGCTCCACTTGTCACACCATCTTGAGCCGAAACAGGCTGAGTAGCTGGTGTATCGGTATTATCCGCCTTTTGTGGTCTCAGAACAACATATGTCCGACCTGACTCGGTCTTTTTCACCCGCACCGACTTCTGCAATGCTTTGAGAAACACTAACTCATTTCGAGTTGCGAAGGGGGCGACTTCTGTCAACAACGCACGCGGCGTGATACGTGTCTGGTTTGGTAATCGTGCTGACAACTTTGTCATCGCACGCCGAATTCTTTCTTCCATCATATGCTCTAATACTTCGGGAGATTCTAGTGATTGCGAAAGTAACGTACACGTCAGTTCTTGGTACCCAACAAAAAATACACTTTCTGGAATATCCAACACAGCATCAAGACCACCATGCGCCGAAAAATAAGACGCCAGATTGTACTTTAGAGTCAATCGCGACAGAAGCTGCCAAATGGCGTGAGCAGCCGATTTGCTGGTATTCGTTGAGGGTACTGAAGATACCCGCTTCAGTGTTTGCAAACAAATATTAACAAGTTGCTGCTCGAATGTGGAATTCTCATCACGGTACATTACAGCACTGTCACCGCTCTGACTGTGTTCTTTTGACTCGTTCTCAAAGTCGTTTTCATTCCTTACGAGAGTATCATCAAGCGAAGAGGAGCCTGTCGAAGACAATTGCTTTGCTGCCATCCCAGCTACTATTGCGTCAAAAACTAACAGCACTGGCGTACACGACGGCTTGAGAGTACCGTTTCCAGAAATACCAGCACTCGAAACGTAAGTTACGAGTTTGTCAATACACGATGGAGATTGAAGTTGCATCACAGCCCACGAATCGGGATTTTGGTGTAGCACGAGCGCTAGCAGATGGGTAAGCATGGTCAAATACGCATCTGCACCCTCTTCACCACCATTGAAATATTCCAAAATAGAAGCATTCAGACGTTGTATTACCAAATCACGGTCTCCATCTGAGCGTGAGCATAAGAAACTGAAATATTCTGCAATTGCTTTAGCCACATTTTGACCCGGATACAATCTATTTCGGACATCCAAGTCCTTCGTATCCTTCATGTCTTCGTGTTTTTCTTTAACGGCTTGTACCCGTAGTATTTCAAAGCACACTGACTCAAAACTGTCTCGTAATGAAATGTAAAGCGCTTGCAAAACTTCTTCCATCTTTTTCCCACCTGCTGCAGCTTCATCTCGACGGAGAATTATTTCTGCAGCCGCATCGTCGTCGCCCAGTGCTTCATCATGTTGTGTTTCATCAACATCGGGCTCGTTCTCTTCTTCGGGGTGGTTCAGAATCCACTCCATAACCAGCTCCATGTTGTTCACTTGAATTTGTCGCAGTGCCTGCTCAACCCGTGGCTGCGAGAAGCCCATCAAAACCAAGCTCTCAACAATTTCAGTATCCGGCACGAAAGACTGACGCTCAAGCCCGGACGATATCTCTCTGTGTGGACTCCCAAGAAACGCTCTTTGATGGGACAATGTTTCGTAATATAACTCACTGCTGGCATTCCTATCAGAATTACCGTGACTGAAACCTGATACTAGTGTGCGGCCAAGACCGCTCAGCTCATTTATACCATTCAATCGTATACCTTCGTCATTGCTATCTATGCGATTCTTCAATATTGTCACGGCAATAGGCATTACCTCCGCCATACATAAATCCACAGACAAAGTCAGAAACTTAGGGTTCTTCCAAAATGACAGTAGCGCACGTACGCACATTGCATGCAATTGTACCGTAAGTCTTCGAGACTGAAATGGCACGTCATCAGCTTTCCCTGCTTCATCACTAGAAAGCAATGCTGCTGTCAGAGGCGACGTAGACAGCGCTTCCAGGTTCGACAGTTTTCGTAAGAGACTTGCTGCAATGTGAAAAGATGTAGACGCCATCTGAGAGGTCTGAACACCACAGTAACTACTTTCATCATCAAGGCAAACGGTTAAAAAATGCTCGACAATATTTACGACCACGTCCATAACGCTTGAAGCTGTGATTTGAGCACCGGCACACATAACGATAGCTTTGCCAGACACAACAACACCTTTTGCTCCAGAGGCTATGTTTTCGTGAACCATAGCAGCATCGTCATTTAAAACGGAACGTTCCGACGCAACGTACACCTCCAAAACGTCACTAATCGGCTTCATGAGCTCCACCAGTAGCAGAGTATTAGTTTGCTTTTTCTTTCCCTCAAAAAGCACAATTGAAATTGTCTCCAAAAGAAACGTGAGGTAGTACTGCTGCACAAAGGTATCGATCTGTGCCGCGCGATCCACCGAAACGACAAACAGAAGGTGGCTTCCTAAAACTTGCGCAGCCATCCGTGCTAGTGCTCGAGCATGAGGTGCTAGGGGCACCGCGTTGTCGTCCCCTCGGCGCTGCTGCATCGGAGCCGATAAGAAAACCTTACAATAAGCCGCTAATAGACCGCGGATGCTCAGTGAAAAGCGCAGAAGAAGAAGAGAACCCATTCTCCATAGGCCTGTACCCCGACAACCACTTTTCAACGCTACGGAAACCAACTTATCCTCTTCAGCCTCTGCAGTCGCCTCCGTGCTGCTATGCATACCACCCCCAGACTCCGTTTTCTGTACCTTAATGCTTTTCTCCTTTCGCTTTTGTTGGTGTAGTGCCGCTAGACTTGCCCGTTCAAACTGAACAGAACGATCCACACGGAACAACCGCACCATAATTTGTTGTGCCGAAGACGCTGTAAAGTCAGCAAACCATCTCCGGCTCTGCATGTGAGTGTGCGCAGTTTCCAGCGTCCAAATGAGCACCGAAGCAAGCCATTCCAGCACAACCAAAACTCGAAGATACTCGCCTACAACCACCACCTTGTTAGCAACAGAGTCCATGGCACTACTCTTCTTGTGTGTACAAATCAGTTCGGCCAAATCATAATCCGGTAATGAGCTCAGCACCTTTTCGGCGCCCTCGCCGCTTTCACTCAGAAACCAAGGCAATCCAACCTTAGCGCGTGCATGTTTAAGATTGTCCATTTGTAGATTTAGCTCTTTCACAACAGCTCCAAGAAGGTTTGTAGGTTGCTGGGATGCGTACGAACGAAGCACAAGTGTGATAGACTGCACCGCTGGATCATGAGACAAGGTGCTTTCGGATAGCCCGCCTCGCGTACTGTTATCGCTAGGTACAATACTTTCCAGAAAGGATGAAGTGCTCGGCAGAATCAGCTGATGCAGTGTTAGAAGCAGCTGAATACCACCAAGGTCTGCAAAATACGCTGCGTGCTCAGATTTGGATAACAAAGGCTCCAATAAGTCTGCCACATGGGTCGTCATCCGTATCAAAATACCGTTGGCCTTGGCTCCGACAAAATGAGGCAGCGGTGAGGACGTCGTTAAAGTGCTTTTTTCGCCAAAGCGAATAACTTTCTTAATTGCATGAATTGCAGCTTGAATAGCAGCATTCTGAAAGCTTGGGACATGTCGCATTAGCTCAAAAATGCCGGCACCGACGACAGCCGCCGTATCACCCTGAAAACAGTAATCCTTGCATTCCTCTTCTGTGTATTGAGGGAGTGCAAAAATGTCCAAAAGGTGCATCAGTGGTTCAAACTTTGCCACCTTTTCTGCATGTGTAGTTGTTAAGCACAAAGCATTCAACACTGTTGGCACTGCCGTAAGCAGTTCACTAGACGGCGGCAGTAGAATCCGAGATGGGTATAACTCTGCAATATCCCACCGCGTAAGTGTTCTCAAGAATGCATCTGCCAAACCGGCAGCATGCACATGATTCACACTGCTTGGATCGTTGTTGATAACATCAGAAACAACGATTGCCGCTTGAGCAAACACAGCTGGACCAAATATGTCCGCATTGGACAGAAGTTGGAGTAACACTTTGTTAAGAGCGCTTCCCTCACGAATAGCACGGCTTGTAGCCCCTGCGCTCATTACACCTTGAGAATGAAACGACATCGATAACGAAGCTAGAATGGCTAGCAACAGCACCGTCTTTGTTTCAGACACCACTGAAGATTTCGTTGAGTTCTTCAAAAGACCGGCAAGACTGGTGCATTCCAGCTTGAGTCGATCCACAAGTATTCCAACTCCGTTTAGGTCCCGGTAGAGCGCAGATGCCGCCGAGTGACTACTAACGGTAATTTCTAGCGCTTGCACACACTGTGTGGTTACGGCCACGTGGAAAGCACTTACTGCGGGCATTGTAAGCACATGCAAAAGCGCTGGAACAATCCCATTCTCTGTTAGAACAGCAGCACCAGACTGAATTGCTACTACAGCCGTTAGTAGCCCTAAAACCCCCTCCATCCAGCACAACTTTGTTTCCTGTATACTCCCGCCATTTATGCTCCGGAATGGGGGCGCACTAACGATCTCGGCTTCCTGAGGAGATAGCAAATCGGTTGTTGCCTGCACAAACGCGACAGCTAGACTCATATCCATATCTGCATCAGCAGTTTCCGACACTATTGGGGATGGCGACACAGAAACTGGGGTTGGTGTCGCAGAATCTAGCGCCGTAGCATCGCCTAGCTCGGCCATACAATAGCGCACGAGCGCAGGAAAAACGCCGTGTGGTGTCCCTTTCACAACCCCCAATACTTGCAACACATTGGATTGGCGACCAAGCACACCCATACCCCCTCCTCGCCCAACGCGGTCGTTCACTAATGCGGTAAGTACAAGCAACGCTGTGACACGCACGCGCACCGGTACGCGCTCAATACTTTCGACTCGAATGAGTTCTACAATTCCCCGTGTAAGCTCCGGATATTTGTCCACGTAATTCGTCACGTCCCACGCATCACTGAAAAGAGAAAAAAGCGCGAGAAGCGCGTGCAGTCGTTCCACGACCAAGTTTTCACGTGTCAATGCACTGCGAGATGCATAACACGCGCGTACTTGGGTATATAATTCGAAATGCAGCCTCTTTGGGATCTTGTGCTGCGCAATCAGGCGTTCACACGCTGTAGCCGCTGCACATGCCGCGTTCCCAGGAGTTGTAATTTCGGTCACTATCTCTTCGTACGGCGGGATCGCTACTCTCAACACACGAGACGTCAAGTCATCACCCTCTTGGTCCGAGGTGTAAAATTGAAACTCCACTTCATTGAGAGTCTCGCTGTTCGCTACATTCAAATAATCCACCACTTCCAAACTAATTTTTGGTGCTCCTCGACCTTGCGCGACCGTCAGCAAACGTCGTCTCAATAAATTATTCCTGGTTGCTGCAGGGTCCACAAAACTCATTGGATCTGCAGCGTAACGATGTACTTGAGGGGGTAAAGCCAGCATAGCTACTACTTTCGTAGCTTCCGTCACTATATGTTCATTCCTTGCTGCTAATAGAGCCATTACAGGTTCAACAGATGGGTATACAGCCTTATTAGCAGCGTTTTCCAGCAAAAATCCAGAAAATTTCAAAATCTCAAGCACTTGTTCCGTCAATTCCTGCTCTGTCTGCTTCATTGCCAGCTCCTGTATCTTTTCTAGCTCTGTATTGATCAATAAAAGCCTGGGACATTGCTCAATCGCACAAAGCAGCAGTCGATGTAGCTTCAATAGTACTGGGCGCCAGTTAGCTAGGTCCGCCTGTGCTTCCATGGGCCAGCCTTTAATGCACGCTAACAGCGGCGTCATACGCGCATCCGTTGCGTGCATAATCACGTCCATAAGCTTCTTTTCCCTGTCGCTAGGCGGTGCACGCGGCGCCACGCCGGCGCTAGCCGTCTGCATTTTCCTCTTTGTTTGTCTATTTGGTCTCTAGAAACTCAACGAGAGCAATAGAAAGCTTCACACACGCAAAAAACAACACGCTATTTGCTATGCTACTATTCACGTCTCACAGAACGCTGTGTACGATGGAAAGATCAAGAGAAACGAGCGGTCAGATGCAGTCTCGAGGCTTTTCACTTGCCGTTTCCTTCTTGTTTCTGGGGAGGAAATCTTCCAAGGGGAAGATGCGGATTGGTAGATTTTTGTCCAATGAGAGCGATACGATAACATCAAACCCGGGTCGCCACTTGCTGACTCGGGTTTTTGCTTTTTTTTCGAATCAATAATGTATAACCCAACGGGTTAACCCATATTGTTTTCAGTTTATTTTTTTATACCGATTATGCACTTACCGGGCATTCTACTACCGGTACGATTGTACCGGTATCATTTTTTGACAGTGGCCGTGTTTCTAATGGAGGAAGTGCGTGGACGCCGGATTGTCTGTTTCCTCTTCGTAACGAAAGCCCACCTGTTCAAGAAATGTAGAAAAGGCCGCGTTGTCCTTTGGTGGTACCTGGAATCCGACAAGCACACGGCCAATATCTGCGCCATGGTTGCGGTAGTGGAATAGACTCACGTTCCATTGACGCGAGGATTGACTGCGTCGACAGACAGAATTGATTACATGGCAGCTCAAAGCATTGCATTACACTGTATGTGACGCACCTGAGCGTTTCAAGAAAGTCCTTGAGCGCACCGGGACGCTCCGGAAACTCTAATCGGAACAGACGTTCATTTGAGACCTAAATGAAAAAAAACGCAGAGCAAAATTGTCACGAATGAGCAGAAATATCACGACAGCCTCACTATATCAAACACACAGCAACGCACGTTCTGCGGACGGCCGCCAACGAGGTGGCGCATGTGCGACTTGGCTAGCTCATTAGACGCCAGGTCAATCGCGCGCATGTCATCGCGCCCGTTGATTGCCTTGACGACGCCAATGAACTCGTCCTGTGTCTTGGTCTGGATGCTCATGCAGATGCGTGCCTCGTTATCACTTTCAGAGTCCATGCGATACGAGAATTCGGTTACATTGTAAGGGACTGTCGTGAATCGGTGAGCCATGCACAACAACAGGTCAGTGAATGGTGCTGGGAACAATCGCATACACCCTATTTGGTCGAACGTACAGATGACGTTGTAAAGATCTTGAAAACTACCAATACGTTCGGGAATTTTGACAGCCATGAAACGCTCACGGTTATCCGAACGCTCCGCAACGAAGCGCAGTCGGTCAAAGTCCATGTTCGCTGCAGCAAGCACAGCCACGTACTTTTTATCTTGAGCATCCTTCATCCGAGCGTACTTTTTGGCACCAGCAACACTGATCGCACCTACGTAGCAATTGTTGCAGCCCACAATGAGAAGTCTGCATATGCAGATACAGCCAACAACGTGACGTACCCGTTGGTTCCATGAGCGAGCGTGTGTCACCAAACACATCCTTGATAGCAGAGCATATCTCGTCAGTCGACACGGTAATCACCTCGTCTACTAAATCCTTGCATAACCGGAAGTTTTCTGTGCCAATGGTCTTGATACCCACTTCCTCCGTAAATCGATTCACGCTCGACATAGTTACAAGTGAGCCCTGCTGCAACGATTCTTGCAAAAGATTGGCACCTTCAGCCTCCACACCAATTATTTTGACATCAGGGGCTACTTCTTTCACATAAGCGGCAAGTCCAGCAATCAAACCACCACCACCAACAGGGGCAAAAATCGCTGCAGCACGATCACCGGCCGTCTACTCAACATCAACCGACAAACGATGTCATGAGGACAACGTTCATCAAAATCAAAACCAAGTTGTTTGCGTCTATACCTCTTTCAGAATCTCCATACCAATAGTGCCGTTGCCCGCGATTACAAGCGGGTCGTCGAACGGGTGAACAAGAGATCGACCCTCGGTCTGCGCAACTCGGAACGCTTCTTTCTTGATTGCAAAACATCAGTCAAGTCATATCACAACACTTCAAACCTGCAACACTGTGCGTCTGCCTACGCACCAGCGACGCGTCAAAGTCTGCACCGTGCTCTACGATCGTGATCTTATTCTTGGTCGAATAAGAAACATTCTGCACTGTTCCTACTGGCGCAATTACAATAGCGTCAATGTCCAGCTTTGCAGCAGCGTAAGCCACGCCTTCCAGGTGATTACCGGCCGCACAAGCCACAATGCCCTTCTTTCGCTGGGCAGGCGTCAAGCTGGCGATCTTATTGTACGCGCCACGCACACTGAATGAGAAAGTCGGTTGCATGTCCTGCATCAAGCATAAAAACATCAGTATATGGGCAGCACATGGAAGCAAGCGATGAAGACAGACAGATAGATACAAAATACACGTACCTCACGCTTTAGAAAGAGACGGCAATTGCCTGGTAGCGACTGCGATAGAGACGGCGCAAGTTGCAGTGGCGTTTGAATGGCCACATCGTAGACGCGACTTTCAAGAATTTCGCGCAAATAGTCGTACGAGCCTGGACGTATCCATGATGGCTTCGTAGCCAGTGACGAGAGACCGCGACGGAACATGGCTATAGCTAAGTAAGTAGTAAGTAGGTCGTTCTCGAAGTAACAGTAAAAAAAACTATGGCATGGATTATTCTATTACAAAGGTTTGCTTGGGTGGGCTACATTTGTCACATATAATTATTTTAATTGCAACAAAAATATAATTGTTAGCTAAAAGCAACAATATATTGTACCAACAATCAATTAGGTGATCTACACTATCATACATCATAATCACATGGTGCCCATCTTTGATGTTGCTGCCAGCTGTAAATATTTTGTCTCCTTGGCGCAAATATAGTTGACTTGTAGCATAACCTTCCGCTGGTATTACATTAGTTGATTTCGACCACAAAAAGTATGTGTGTCTATCTGCTACTATTTTTCTCAAGAGAATTCCTTTCACGACTAAACTCTCTTGTTAACGAGATCCGATGCTTCAGGACATACGTCCACGATGATAGTTTTGCGTTCTGCTTGAGCTTAGTGAGACAAACACTGAATTGTATCAAGCTGTCCATCTCCTTCATCATCATCATCATCGTCTTTCAGGTAAGATGGAGGTGGGATAGAGTCTGCATGGATGATTATGTCTGCATCTATTGTGCCCCTCTAGCAAAACACTTTCAAGTTGAATGACTCAACTTTGACAAGTGATACTACTACATATACGTATTAAGCGGCTCATTTCGATTCGACTCTTTCCATTGGTTCCTCGGTATTTTTTGGGTCCATTTGTGCTTGTTAAATGTCATTTTTATGTAGTATTGTACCGGATGTCCAGTGCTAACGCTACAATCGTACGTTTGTCTTGCGCTCTTTTTGTCCTTTTTGTATAGAAATGAAAACACTCGACCTAAATGATTTAGAAATAGGGTCTCTTGCCGAGATCAAGTTTTAAATGCGACATTGCGATATAGTGCGTATGTAATGGTCATTCCCTTCCCCTCATCGAGTTTGATCGAATTCAAGAGGGTTATTGCTATTGTCTACCCTCCTTTAGAACCGCCATTATCGCTTTATTCAGAGACTCAACCGAACGTCCTTGTTCTTTTTCCTGTGATAGGTAAACAAACAATCAACACGTACGAGTGATACATTCATTCCTTCATCCATTCCTTCCTTCAGTGATACAAATTACATTTGACGTGATTGATTTCTCCGTCTACTTCCTTTCTATATCGTTGTCATCTTTCTAGAGGTATGAAATCTCTTTCTGCTCTTGTCTCGATGTTTGTCGTCGTATGTATCATCAGTTCTTTTCATATCCATGAAGTTATTGGAGGAATGTATGAAGAAATTGACGATGCAGAAGGTTTAGACGAGGAACATGGAACTGCGGCGAGTATACAGCGATATTTGCAGACTGCCGATAGCAACTCAACCGCCAACACTCCACCGGTCAAGACGCCTGCACCGGTCGAGACGCCTGCACCGGTCGAGACGCCTGCACCGGTCGAGACGCCTGCACCGCCTGCGAAGACCGCACCGCCCGCGACGACCGCACCACCCGAGACTCCTGCACCACCTCAGACGCCTGCACCGCCCGAGACGACCGCACCGCCAACGCCCACCTCAGCGCCACCAACGACGCCAACGCCCACCTCAGCGCCTCCAACGACGCCAACGCCCACCCCAGAGCCTCCAACGACGCCAACAACAACCGCTCCAGCGCCTTCGAAGACTCCGACGACGCCTACGTCTCCAACTACGTCAGATTCGATCCCGACTGTTGTGCCACAGAGTCCTACTACGACGGACACTTTTCAGAATGCTACACCTCCTCCTCCTAATGCGACCACCCCTGCGCAAGATACAACAAAACAGTCGCCCGAAGTGACTCCATCCACACCGGAAGCGAACAATACCGCAATTACACCGACGTCTGCACCGTCTACAGCTACCGATACGACGTTACCGCCAAATTCGAGTTCTGGCTCAGCGTCGAGTGCAGGTATCACCGCGGACGAGTCATCTGGACCAACCATGAGCACTGGCGCCGTGGTCGGCATTGTCGCGGGCATCATTGCAATCGTGGCCATTTTTGCTGCAGTTATCAAGTACGTCATCCATCGCAAGCGCGACGAGGAAGACGATCCGCTGTCGCCTTTTGAGCTTTCGTTGGACAAGGGGTACAACCCCACACCGGCTGGTTTTAATGCCCAGAACTCGCACAATGCCCGTGCGATGGGTGCTACAGGTGGTAATGGTTCAGCGTCGAACACTCAGACGCCACCAGCAGATGCTATGGCAGAAGGTGTGGGTTATTCACACTTTTACGACAACTCAGATACGTCCCCCGAGTTGGCTAACCGGGAAAGGAACGTGGGTCCAGTGCAGACAGGCAGTGGAAACAACGCTCCCATGAACGGCACGAATCTGTGGCTGAGCGCCATGGAGCCTAAGAACAATGATTCTTATCTGAGCGCACAGGAGTCTGCGCGCTCTTCGGGCAACAGTAGCCGCAACAGTTACGAAATGTTATCTGGCCAGCACATTGACCTGGATCAGTGCAGCCAGATCAGCGGACATAGCAACAAGGGCAGCGATGATTTTCCGGACCATAACGACGACAACGACTCCGCGCGTGGTTCGTATGAGCTTTAAGTCAGCATATGACGAGGTTAATCTATGCAACAGCGAAATGGCAGTACCATGGATCAAGACAAACGCAGTCTTTGTTGGTGCCTCAGGAAACTGTAGAGTTTTGGAAAATAAGTGGAGTGCGTAAAAATTCTTGGCTAATATATTATGGACAGCTGTTGGTTGTTCGTGAAAGGACGGGTCGTTTGCACTCGGCGTAGGAGCTAATGCGAACGTTGAATGCTGAATCTCAGATCTGTTGAGAAGACGATGACAGCAGCATGGACGGCAAAACTAGGCATATACACGAGGCCACTACTGAAGCATTTAAGGTCTGTATAATTTATGACTGATTTATTAGGCAAGTTCCGCACTTGACACCCTCTAGTTTTCTTCATCATTACCGTCACTATCGTCACCAGCATCGGTGTTATCGCGCTGAACCTGTTTAATGAAGGCACCGAAACCAGCACCACCTGCGAGATGATCCACAAGATCAGTCGGTGCGCGATACACACTCAGTGAATTTGCACGGATGTCTCTTCTCGATTCAACCACCCGAAAATCGATCACGTAATGTTCGTCTTCTGCGTCTAGTAATGTCGCTGGCCTTTCCATCTGCATCTCCAGCAGTTCTTTCCATGAAAACAGCAGCGTATCCGTGACATCACCAAACACATTGATGTCCAAGAGATAGACTCGTTGACGCTTATCAATGTACACATCAAAGCTATAGTTTGGATCTGGAAAGACAAACTGTCCTTTTGGACACCAAAAGTTCTTTTGATAGAACTCGTAGAGTAATTCACAGAGTTCATCCTGTTGGTCTAGTAGAAACTCATAAAACTCATTGCAATTTCGTTGCGACACAGCCACGAGACGATGACCAAGCACAAAACACCGAAACAACATCGAGTCGAGAAAGTTACACCATTTTTTAAGCACTAGATAGCATTCACGAGGTCCATTGTGATCATTTCCAGGACTACATCCACTATAAGATTGTGTCACGTCATGTAAAACAAAGTCAGAAGCTTGCAAAAGGAGAAACACGTCTTCAAAGCTCGTACACTTGAGTGTACCAAGTATCCACGTGGCATCACGAGGTGCACTCCAATTGGTCTTGGGGAAAGAATTGACCATGAAAATCCTGCAAAACTTGATCCACTTGTGCTTTCACTGTTAGAATTGCATCAAATTGTTCATCTGTGACGGTACAAACGCTCTCAGTGTCTTCATTCTCCTCGACTGTCTCGTCCTCATTCGTTCTCGTCGTAGACGCGATGAAAGTCATTGGTAACGTCACACCATCAGCCAGAAGAACCGAGATAAAATCCAATGGTAAAGGAATAACTACACTCTTGATAGAAAGATGCTTGAGCTTTGGATACCATGCTGTAAATGCACAGTTATTCACCTGTGTAGCTGAATATGGCGGAGGAGAAGTATCATCCTTCATGATCTATGATAAAGAGGGGGGGAAGAGAACAATGGTGTGTGGTACATGATATTGATGTTGCGTACATGCATTATATTGTCGCACTATCATCTCTCAGTCGACCTTGCATAAAGCAAATAGTGACGTAGCCTCCAAAGTGCTTTTTCTTCTCGTTGGATCATGCCAATTCTTACTTTTGTAGCACGTATTTCCGATGGCATGTTGCTCGTATGTATCGTATCTATACATAACGATATAGTCTAGATAATAGTTTATGATATAGTATCGAGATATTCGATCCCTCACGTTGCTCGCTATATTCTCACGGGGTTGAACAGGTTGCATCAATGGACTCAATTGGCGATGGGAATTTAGATACATACAAGCAACAAGCAAAACAAATTATGAAGAAATTAGACCAACGCTCACCAACAAAATGCAGTATCGAGTCAGGCGCGTATACCTTCCAGTACGTGTGTTATGATGCGAAATGTCGTATGAATGTCGTGTGAATGTCGTGTGGATGTTTCTGTAGCTATTTAATACAGGAGGAAGTATGTTACTTGACACTAGCAGATCGAGGCTTTCCAAAACGTCTTGTTTTTTTATATCTCGACGAACTTCATACAGGTTTTATACAAGAATTAGCACGGGAGAGTGGTGGTACCAATTGGCGTGATGTTGTTACAACGGTTGCAAGACCTTATGCATTTATCAAGTTTGGTGAGTAGAATACAAGTGAGCTACAAGGTTTGAGACAGAGATGGAGATGGAAGAAACTAATGGTTGGATGCTATTGTTTATTGTGCTGTGCTTTGGTGTGTTCTACTTGTTGCAAACACAGACAAGTTTATTCAAAAGAAGCGCAAGGAATATGCTGATCCTAATTCATCACAGAACATGCATCGTCTGAATGACGATTTAGCTGATATTCATAACATTATGCGGAAAAACATCCAAGAAGTACTTAATCGCGGCGAACGAGTTGAAAGTGAGTTCGTGATTGGGCTTTGAATCGTCTTGAATTCTGCTCACAGTGCATGATATTTTGTATGACTATGACTGTGTTTGTATTTAGACGTCTCACGTCTCTCGTCGAACCTGGCGGACCGATCAAAAGATCTTAAATGGGGAGCCAAGAAACTTCGCATGCAAGCCATTTATCGCCAGTACGGCCCCATTGTCGCTGTCGTGCTTTTCGTGCTGCTCATTATTTACGTCAAGTTCTTTTAGATAAGACAGACAGGTGGGTTCTAGGAATGAGGTTACAGTACATCATTACCTGTCGTACGCGATGTGTTACAGAGCTAGAAAGGAACAAGTGCCGTTTGGACCCAGGCAAGTCCATGAACACTATAATTGACTTGAATTGCTGCTATGGTGTTGCCACTTGTGTCGTTTTTGTATGCAATAAGACGACATACTATCGTCACCATTGTGCATGAACACGCATGTGTGCTGATGGCAAAGCCGTTCGCTTGAGAGTAGAACTAAGTGAGCACGACAATTTCAAAGACAAGAGCAATCAACCTATATATATATATATCTTGCATCAAACAACATCCGTGTCATTATCACCAACGAGTCACATCAAGCTGAAAACATGTTAACACACAATGGAAACAACAAGGAAACAAGAAACAAGAAACAAAACCATCACTGAAAGCAAGTCAAAGGTCTTTACTTCATTACGTCGTCTTCCTTCATATCACCACGTCACGTATAAACTTGCATCTAGTCAATTTTCACCTGAGAAATCCCACTCGCATCAATCAACTACCAGCAAGAAAAAAGAAAAAAAAAGAAGAAGAATCACGTGAGTACATATATAAATAATAGCAACTCCAGCAGCAGCAGCAAGACCACAACCACCAGCATTCTATCCATGTATCATCCTTTACTTACCGAATACGCCCATTGTCCATTACGCACAAGAAAGCGCATCTCAAGTTCTGCACGGCACTTTTTCAGTACATCTTTCGCTTCATCCAGTGTCATGTCTTGTTTAAATTCACGATCAAAGATCGAGAGACAAAAGTGTGCACCATAACCATGTGCACCATAGTTTACTTTTGTCATAGCTCCAAGATAATCAATCCAGTATAAACTTGGTTCCATCTTGTGGTTGTTGTTGTTTGGCTCTTGACGAGAAGTATCCAATGCACCAATTAACAAATTCACTTGATATGGAGCACGACGGAGAAAACGTGCGAGTTCATTACGTACGTAATGAGCTGTAGCTGCACCATTTAGTTGAACACCATTGCGTAATTCATAGAGTTTCATATTCTTTTGAATATATTCACTAAATGCCAATCGATCACTTTGTGGTCCAGATGTGACCATGACTTTGGAATTATCCAAGTGAATTGACTAAATTAGACATGATAATGTAAGAAAAATATCCAAACCAAAATATTTACAATAAAAAAATCCACGATAACAAATATCCAAAATATTTAGAGTTAGAGAGATAATTTTTTTTAATAGAATGAGAAACAATGGAAACGTACCTTATCTTCATCATCCTTGTAGACCAAGATACTGCGTGCTACTTTACAGTCGGCTGCTAATAGCACAAAATCTTTCCCGACAATACCAAAGATCGAGTCCATGATGGATTAGCGATCGAACTATATCAACACAATGGGATTTGGATTCTCTCTCCCTCTGGGGGGTTTGTGGTGGATTTTAACGAATCATAGCAAAACCTTTTTGGATTTAATAGAAACTGGATTAAATTCGTGAGCAATTTGATAGGATATTATCCCAATAGGATCAAAAGTATCCTTTACTGTAAGATGCACTTTTAGAGCCTGTGTATACTATACGTATCCGATTAAACGGATCGACAACCTCTTACTCCATGCAATCGCATTTATAATTTACTCAATTGTCCGGTTAAAACATGACCAAAATGTCAAAATTTCAAAATTTACTCGTCCACGTCCTTCGGTTCATACTCTTGAAATGTCAAATTTAGTCTTCCTGGGCGCATACGTAGCCATAATGGTTGTGTCTTGTGATCAATTCTGGTTAATGCATGTACCATCATCCTTGCTGGACCACCAAACACCAATACGTCTCCTGATTCAAGACGTACGATTGGCACTGATTCCTGTGGCTATGGAAAATGATCAATGTAGGCAAATTCAGCTGCACAACAATTGAGAATGAAATGACTGGAGACCCCATGGCTTTTGCACTCTCATCTTTATCCATCTGCAGTCCATTCCTTCCTGCTTTTCGATCGAAAGTAACAATACAAATCTCCAGTGCCATGTGTTTCCACGTTCCCATGACGAATGGATCAATCTTTATTGCAGTCTCGAGACTATATTGTGCATAGAATTTCCAGCTCTCAGGTACTTGAGGTACAAGAGCATGGTCAGAACTCGACCGTTGAGCTTCATACACTTCCGTTTGAACGTTCCAGTGTTTGCCAAGACTCATTTGATGCAAGCGACACTTGGCTCCACTAGCATACGTCGGTATATAGAACCCTCCTTCTTTCAATCCCATTATCCTCGATTCATTCACAAGTTGTTGCTGTACGTTGGGTGTCAAGAATCCAGTCAGAATGACGAAGCCAGGTCGCAAGGATCCAGTTTCAGCATGACCACGAGGTAGACTTTCAATACTACATGTTGAAGCTTCTACTGGACCATTTGTAGTAAAATTAGGTGCATTATGAGCGCATGAAAGCGTTGTATGAGGTCAAGCTTGAGGTGTATTGAAAAACAAGTCCAATTCATGTCCACCGCCAGTGTCTTGCTCGCGTTTCTTGGTATTCGTGATCCGGTCGACTTTGGAGCTTTTCATTTACGAATGAATCATAAGATAAGGTATGCTACATAAAATTCGACGACATCCAGTAGTTTGATGTGGACACACAGTTTTTGTGTAAGACTTATGTACCCATTACAACTTTATCATCCCATGGCACGAGCTCATGATGTGGTCCTGCGCGTAAGGGCCTATGGGCAACAAGGAGTAGAATTTGCACTATCTAGTCCACAATATAATGATAAAAGAGGCATATTTACTTGGTGGATCATTATTGCATTGATTCTAAGCTCGATAGCCGTGTTATCATCAATTAAGTGGGATGTATCATCCACTTTTCGACTGTTCATGGGTCTAGTGATTGGTATATTGGTTGCATTCGTCTTTCAAGCTTCTGGAAGTGTCGTAGTAGAAGGTATAGCTATTGTACTAGTAATATTACGTCATCAGTAAGTATGTCGTTGATACTATGACGGATTTTGTGACAATATGTTGGCAGAGTCAATGTTAGTGGTACCAGCGCTTGGAGTGAGGTTGACCACAAGACGACGCAATGGTTCAATAAGGAGCAAGGTGACAGAAGTATTCCCGATATATTTGGTGATAGATAGTTTGTGTGGTATAGAGATTGATGGGGTATTTGCTGGTTTGGTAGTTTGTCGACTTGGATAGGATTTGTGGCGTGGCCGTGAATGAGGCGATCACGTTTTCTAGCGTCGTGTATTCGTTGGTTCTCATGGTGGAAGGACAACATGACATGATGCTACCATTCGAGGTAAGCTCAAAGTACAACAACAACAGCTCTTTTGAGTTGCTTGTAGTTACTAACAATACGTGTATGTTTCTGTGTGTATTGCTCAGACATTCCGGCCACGTGTAGCCGTGTTGCAAGACATTTACCAGGAAACTCAAATGTTGCTCTTCCCTGACGACAGCGATCGAAAGATGCGTCTTCCAGATCATGTTGCACTTAGACCGTGTTGATGACGTGTATTCATTCAGTAGCATCACCCATTGTAATCGTAGGGCTTGATTGCTGGGACTTTCGCTTCGCATTTTTATTTGTTGAATATTTACTAGAGCGCATTCGGCGCAAGCAAGCGTCTACAAGAGACGGTTACGAATATCCTCGAGCTTTTTCAGTACCTCGGCCGGTGTACGATCAAGGTCTTCGGCCACACTAGCCTGTTTTTCAACACTGAGCGTGCTGAATTGCTCGCACAAATCGCCATCTGTGACGTTTTTCACCGGAATGTAGTACGACCGGTAGGACAGGTGGTCACGGCCGCAAAGCGGTGGCTTTTCCTGGCGCATGTACATCTCTAGATGAGTGTAGAAATCCACGTCCTCACGTGAAGTAAACGGAATCAGAGCGCCGATTCGACCCATAATCGTCGCATAAATGATCGCTTCAGTACCTCCAGGAACTAAACTGGAGCGCACCATACTGGTTACCACGTCGCCCACGTGGAATTGCGCCACCTGCTCAAGTTTGTTAGGCGCACCATTAAGAAGGCCAGAATCCCACAAAATACGGTTGCCTGTGGGATTGTCGATTTCGTCGGAGACTTCGGACGGCAGGCGAGAGACGAATATGTTGCCAAACTTATCCGCTCCGCATAGCGTATCGTAATCCAGCAAGACGCTACTTGTAATGAAGCGCGGCACACAATCATCGGCGAAAATCACAAGTTGGTTTTCATCCTTTTTATACTTCACGAAATGAAAAGACTCGTGCATGTCCGACGCATATATGCGATCTCCAGCAGCCTTCAGTTCGACCAAAATGGACGGAAAATTGCGGTTCTCGCACTTGCGTAGCATCTTTTTCTTTCCCAAATCATAAATTCGGAGTGCCCGCCCGACCGATACAAGAAGCCGTCCTTGAAACTCGCACATTGCGTGCGGAATGTCGTCAATCTCAGTCGTGTGGACAAGCACCAGCTGCATACCTTCGACGACACGATACACACGCAGAGAGCCACCTGCCGGCGCCTTCTGCGGATGCAGCTGCATGTTCTTGACTGTACCAATAATAATGAATGCTTCTCCACCACGGTCATGGAATACACACACAGCAATACTTCGGGCACGCTCATCTACGTCCAGCTCCTCACAGACTACCGTTTGACAAGATACAGGGTCAACTATTCGCACGCACGAAGCCCACTTGTCCTTCTCAGCCGGAAGGGAGCTACGAGGAAACAACAACGCATCACTAATCTCATCCTCGTCTTCATCCTCCTGCTCAGTCACACTTTGAATGTCAGGAATCTGTAAACCATGTTGCCTTTTGTAAGCAGCTCCGTATTCGTTGTGGTCACTTTCAATAACAACAAGTCTTCGCGATGGGGAGTGAACCACTGCCTTGCGAGGCGTGTAGCGTATGTTGCATTTTTGCTGATTAAATGTGTCACCAAGTTGATCCACTGTCAAGATTTTCATTCCGTCGTTAGTTAGCGCAACAATGCCACCAGGACACTGCTCGGAGTCAAACGAGCTCGCATAAGAAAGCAATTCGCATGACAGCGGGGTGAGATGTCTCCGCGTCTGATAGAAGTAGGAGATCCATGCACGACTCGATAGCGCAAGGATCGAGCGTTTTCCTTCGACTGCCACTCGAAAGAGCTTCACGGGATTTGTGCCAAGGAATCGCGAGCGAGAATCCGTCAATGTAGCAGTGATCGGGTCGATTAATGACTGCTGAAGCACACCATTGTCCAAGCCGATGCTCAAGAAAAGCGCTTGAGATGAGTGCTCCGAGTTAGGCGTTGACGATTCATTCTGCAACTGTGCAAGGCAAAGTGTGTGTGGATGTGATGTCAACGCTAGTGTCGACTTTTGTCGGAACAGCTCATTGGGGTCTAGTGAAAGAATGCGGACAGTATTGTCCCAGCTGCCCACTGCCATAAACTGGAAACGCTGGCGACCCTCAGGAACTTCGCCCAAATCCAAGCTGCAAACTTCATAACCCAAGTCCAACTTGCCTTTCTCGGCAAGTTCACCCGACTGACCCAGCTCAAAGTATACAATTTCACCGCCAGCAAGCGAAATCACAACCTGACGAGAGTTGGCTGCACAGTGCTCAATCACCTTCTTTCCGGGAGCCTTCCACTCGGTAATAGGCTGAAACTTTGGCACGTGACGGATTCCATTAGTGTGGATCTGTAGCTTCGAGTCGTCCTCCAGCAACGCTACCAACAACGACCCATGATCACGAATGAATCCAGACTGGGACACTTCCTCGACCGTCTCGCCCACCTCCAGTACCAACGTTGCATCTTCAAAACTCACAACGATATACTTGTCGTGCTGGTCCGCGTACGACTCCTTCAAGCACCAGACTGCCTTGGCCACACCCGGCAAGGCACTAGCGGCCATTTCCGTGATCGGAAGACCGTGGCGTAGCACACGTATTGACGAACGGTTGCCTTTACCACACAACGCGTACATCTGCGGCGTTTGTTCATTCGCCAAGTCATCCACCAGCAACTGCATTACAGGACTTAGACTTGGCATGAAACTAGCCAGTGCCAAGTTTGTCAACTTTCTCAATGGAAATGTCGAGACCTCTGTCGGATCCTTAGCTAAACTCGAGCACTTTGCAGTATCATCACCTTCTCCGATACTCAAAAACTGAAATAAATAATGGTTCGAGAACTCGGACGCGCAAAAGAGAAGTCCAGTCTTTGTAATACACATGGCTGTTGTTACAGGAACCGTATCAAAAAACTGAATCTTGATCTCGTCCACTACGCTTCCTGAATACTCCAGCGATATCTTGTACAGATCGCCAAGTTCTGACTGCAATAGCACAAAAAAAAGATCTCGCTGTTTATGTGTGGCAGATGATACAATAATCACATCTCTCGCTTCTCCTTGACGTCGTGGAATTGCACATGTCAATTCCGGATGGCCTTCATTCATATATTGTACCGTATTCTGTCCTAATACCAGTACTCCTCCTGGTCCATCTCCACCTCCTGGTACAGCTACGACCATATTAGCACTTCTCACGACCTCTTGACTCCATCGTCTCGTGACATGATTTAGTCCAAGATCTAATTCATAGTACACCAATGTCTTTACTGCTTCCTGTGCAGCTTGACCACTTGCATCTGCATCTGCATCTGCATAATCCAGTTCTAAGGAAGCAAAAATCGGGTTTTCAAACCCAACATCAAGTCCAACAATACTAAAATGAATAGTATTCGAGCGATGTGCTTCCAAAGGTGACGAGATTGTAAGACGACTGGAAGCATCACGATTCATCACGTAGACGAGTTTCTGTTTCTCAGTCGCACCTACTAATATCGCACGTCCCTTTGGATCAACAGCCACGTATTGTCCTGGTGTAATCCGTCGACAGCCTGTTTTGCCATAGGTTTCCGTCTGTTTCGCTTCAAATTGACTCAATAGAGTGTTTACTTCCACGACAATTAGCTTGCCAGAATCCGAACCAATCACAAGATAATCTCGTTCTCCACCTGTGAGACGAAATGACTGCAATGAACGGATGACACCAAATACTTGAGTCGAGAAAAGCGTTTCGAGACGTCCTGCTTCATCTGGACGTATTAATTCAAGCAAATCACCTCGTACAACAATGAATTCGTGAGCCTGAGGTGAAGTAAAATTGCCATAGACCGATAAATGCACACCCGTTGGTGGCTGGAGCGTTAGATTCAAGAGATGCATCAACACAAGATCCTCTTCGACGCGAGATGAGAGACTACGACTGGCTGGATGGCAAGGATGAGGTAAGAGTTACGTAGTGTACACGATATTATGTAGCAGCCCCATCATTCACCTTGATTGATTACGTAAGTGTTAGTAATGTAAAAACTACTTCAGGCATGTACTTGAAACATTGGACCATTTGGAAATGTCAAAGACAAGATGGATAGATCATGCCAAGGTTGGATTGGTGACTGACTACCTTTTGCTTGTCAATGCTGCCTTTAAATGACTTTCAACACGTCCTTTTGCATAGTGTCTTGTATACGACTATCCTGTTGCAATACGACTTGAGTCTCTGCCATGTCCTGCGACGGCCATGGCTTGGTCTGTACAATATCTTTTGACACGGATGAAACATCCCCACAGTCCATTGCATTCGATTCTAGAGCTTCCACCGCATAATTTGAATCTTCTACGGGTTCGGTTATCTTCGTCACCATTGGTAACGTGTCCTCACACTCGTGTTTTGGTGAAAACTCATGTACTTTGCTATCATTCAAATGTGCCTTGCTACCCGCTTTTTTTGGCGTGGTATCACAAATGTAGAGACTTCGATCACTTCGGCTTTCCGTCACACGAAGCACACGTGTTCTCGGATCAATGGCTTTACGAAGAAGACTAAGGTCACCATGGTGCCATAATTTGGTTCGGACACGATCCACCACAGCATCAGGATGAAGGAATTCCGCTTCGGCTTGAAACCGAGCAGATTCTTCACTTTTGCTTTCTAGATCTTTCTTCAGACTATTGACCTCATCATGAAGCTCTTGAATTTCTTCTCGTAGTGCCGCATCGTTCTTCTTTAGCTCGGACGTAAGTTCAGTGATCCTCTCCGAGACCAAAAACGATTCAAGTGCCTTTCGCTTTCGATCCTTGCGCTCCATTGACAAATATCTCAACTGAGGATGATGGAACTCCTAGCGACAGAAAGGTCTTGGAATAAAATGACGCGACAAGGTCAAAGAAGTATCAAAAGAGAGTTCGTGACTTCGTCCCAGTTGAAGTGCTAGTGCTATTCTCCAACGACATGTAGCAGCGATCTACTTCATGATGATAAACCATCACTTGCTACCTATGTTACCAAGCAATACAAGCGAACTCCACAAGTGTACGCAAGAATTGATGGCAACATGGTATAGCGTTCTTGTAGTTCTTTCAAACAAGACAAGGAAGACCCCATCAAATTTGTAGAGGAAGAGACGATTCTCGTTTGTATTGTCACAACTGCGGTGTCTCTTGCTGCATTGACAATAGAAAGTTAAAGCGCACAACAGACAACAACTACGTGTGGATCTTGTTACTCTGTCGTGCATCTGTCTATCTACGCGAAATGACCACGCCTTGTATATCTGTCCAGCTACGGCTTCAACACTATGCATTCATACTCGTAGCTCAACATAGGAAGATCAGTGCACCGAGGCTACAAGAATGGGGAACTCTCCACTCTCACGAGAATTCACGGGATGGCGTATGTCACCGGACGAGCGTGAAGCTACAAAGCGGTTTGATGAGAAGGAGATGCGACTACTTCGTAAAACCTTCAAAGGTTTAGCGCACGCTAAAGACGGTATCGGTGTTGATAAGGAGACTTTCCTCAAGTGTTTTCCTATGCGCGGACTCTTGGGTGAGAGGTTGTTCGACGTGATGAACAAGAACGGTTCCGGTTCAATCAACTACACCGAATTCGTGTACGGCCTTGCTATCCTCTTCAGAGGCTCAGAGAAGGAGAAACTCCAGTTTATCTTTGACCTCTGCGACCCCAGCGAGTGCGTTTATGGCATTTATTGTTGTTGTGGTTGCATCATAATTGGTATCGTGTACTAATCAGTAGCTTGAATCTAGAGCTGGCTCCGTCTCACGACACGAGCTGATGACAATGATGCACCAATTCCCTGAATCAGCACTCAAGTATCTCAAACCGAAGATGAACCTCGAAGAAGACAACAATTCGACAAAAACGTCGACTCTGACCAAAGCCGTGCGTGCTTGTAGATGTTATCGGCATCATTGAAACCGTGTTTGACCCAATGTCTTGTGACTAGATGGACGAGATTGAGGCTTTGGTTGATGTGGTGTTTTCACCTCAAGGAACACCACGAACACGCCTAAGCTTTGACCAATTCTATCACTGGTGTGAAAACACACCGGGTGTCACCAAAGTAAGTCACGTGTCAACCCCCCCTCTTGTCCTCATTCGTCTCTCTAGCTCTGATTCGTTCATATAATTGCTGCAGTTCATGATAAGTGTCCTGCCTGTTGAGAATCGCGCGGTTCGAGATAGCTCCCATAACCTACAAGGCACCCACACAGCACTTGTGACCCCAGTACACGAGTACTTCCTCTTTGCTTGCTCCAACTTGGCTTGAATGATGTCTAAAAACTTGTCTTGTAGATCTAACTTGCAGTCTAGGACTGACGAGAATGGGGGACTTTGCCAGAAGCGAAAATCGATCGTAGACCTGCATGTCAAGTACGTTTGTAGCTTGTTCAGCGCGCTTCGTACACTAACTTTGAATCATCTTCAGCCGTTCTGGTGCTAGAACGAGTGCAGTCCCTTCCGCAGACGGATTTACCCGAAAGCAGCTCGAGAAGACTCGCGCTTTACTCCAGGAATCCAATTACATCTGCACTGCTGACAGTGTGACTTTGAAGATCCAGTCAGCATTAGCTCAAGTAGACCGCTTGCTTGCACTCCCGACAAGCCCTTCGACGTCTGTATCAAGATGTGGATCATTCACTAGTACAGGTGGAACTCCGACTCGATCGCAAGAGCTTGATGGTATATCAAACGTGTTCATGGTGAAGAATTCGGAGACCAGTGTCTCCGGTGACTTGTGGAAACGGGGTTCGCGTCTACATAAGATGATCAAGCGCTACTACGTAGTGCAGGGTAATTTCCTGTACTCGTATGCGTACGTCGTGCAAGATTATTGAGAAGATGATTCTTCACGGCGTGTTGTAGCTGACACTTTGTACTTTTGCTTTACAGCTCTCGAGATGACACATCACCTCGCGGGGTGACTTTCTTGGGTGATTGCTATGTAGAGATGCATCCAGTGCAGGCCAAGACTGGCGACAAAGAGGTCAACTATTTTGGAATTGACATTGTCCCAGAGCCTGGTAGTACCCACAATAAGCGCACAGTATTTGCACGCTCACAAGAAGCTCAGAAACGCTGGACAGCGGCATTGCACTGTGCCACGGATAAAATCTCCATTGAAGAAGTGTACAGCATTGAAGCACAACTCGGCCACGGACGTTTTTCCAAGGTGTGCGAAGCCACACACAAGCACACTGGTGCAAAGTCAGCGGTGAAGATCATTGATAAAAGCAAGTTGCAGCCCGAAGAGAAGGAATTGTTGCGGACCGAGATTGCCATTCTGAAGCTCGTGCATCACCCAAACATCATTCGGCTTTACGACGTGTACGAGGACCGTCAGCATATCTTCATCGTCACGGAACTCGTGTTAGGTGGTGAGCTGTTTAATCATATTGTAGGCCGTGCAAGATATACCGAAGCTGAAGCTCGCCTTGTCATGCGTCCACTCCTTGAAAGCGTCAACTATTTGCATCGATTGGGCATTGTACACCGAGACCTCAAGCCAGAAAATATCCTCTGTGGTGAAACACTTACAGACATGAAGATTGCAGATTTTGGGCTTTCGAAGCTCATTTACCCGGATGAGGTCATGAAGTTGCCTTGTGGAACTCTAAACTATGTAGCCCCAGAGGTGTTGGCCCTCGTGGGCTATGGACGTGAGGCCGACATGTGGTCACTTGGAGTCATCATGTACTTATTGCTCAGAGGCAAGCTTCCATTCTACGGTACGACCAAAAGTGAACTCATCCAGAATACGATACACGCGGAAGTGAACCTTGGAATGGATCCAGTTTGGCGAAACGTGTCTTCAGCGGGGAAGGCATTGTTATCTGGCATGTTGACGAAAGACCCTGCTCGTCGATTTACTGCTCAAGAGGCGACATTGCACGACTGGTTCTTGATGTAGTCGCTATGGTTGTTCATCAAAGCCTAAGAAAATCGTTTGACTTGAGGATCAATTTATTCAATTCGACATAACAATGACCAGGTTTGCAAATGACCAGCCTTGTTCTCTCTCGTGCACTTCATTCAAACGCGATTGTATTAATCCTTGTGACGCGCAACAAGCGTGTCAGCTCTTTTCAACTTCATATGAGGATCTTGTAAGCTTGCTTATCTTTCTCATCCACAACAGCCCTCGCACGACCTCGCACGTAAAATAGGAGACCATAGAAGGAATAAACGAGGCTTCAAAGCAGCTTGACCCTTCCGATCAACTAGCTGACACGCATACGAGCCTTATAATCGCTTGAGCTCTCCATCTTCCTCCCCTGGCTCCAAATCCCCTTCTTGTTTCGCCTCGCCTTGTCCTCCAACTTTTCATATATCTCTTGCTTACCACCGTAAACAGCACCCAATTGACGATATACCTGCCCCAGTCCTGCTTTTTAGAATCTCCTCAGATGCATCACGTCTGAATGGCCACTGTTCATACTGTACCATACACACTGCTCGAGCATACTGATCTTTATGCAGCAGCGTGAGCGTCACTTCCTGCCCTCTAACGTCGTGGTCAGCCACTTCTTGGCGTCCTCTCCGAATGGGTGACCGAGATTCCCAAACTTGGCCATCTCTGGTGTCTCTACCCTCGTAACAAACACACCAACCAATACATCATCCCATCAGACTCCTCTTTATTGATTCCACCGTCACTAAAATGCACAGCGACCACGTTTATCTTGCATTCGTTCTGGAAAAGCCGGTTGGAAGGTTTGCTGCTGTTGCAAACCCGCCTGAATCGTGAACTAGCGAGACCGACGCTAAATCCGACAACGAATGCACCGCATACGGTGCGGGTCCAAGGATGATGCAGCACTTCTTGCGGGTTGGTGGCAATACTGTGCAGTTGAGTGGTATATATCTGCCATTGCTCTATGGCTAGCGCCTGGAGCCTTTTGAGCTCATCTCGTGGGGTCATGATGGCCAATCGCGATGTGAAGCTTTGTTTGACAGGAAGCACTTTGTTTGATAGTTCTGTCGGTCCTCAGTTGTCACATGAGCTATTGGAATTCCACTTGTTACTTGGAGATGATTGAATCCATGTTCTTACTTACGTATGGAGATGATAGGCATGTGTTATCAGCAGTTAGCTCTGCAGCTTTTGCATTGTTGTTGTTGTTGCTATGGTAAGGTTTCTTACAAATTGAATCGAGCATGAAACAACTCAACACTGTAAGGAATAGCCATTTTGAGCAAGAGCATACCAGGTTTCCTGTCTGACGACACAACTCGTGGTTAAAGCCTGCTCTCGCTAGTCGTACTTCAAGATGCCGGCGTACTTCGCGCTGTTTGGAAATCATGTCGTCGATATTCCATCTCGTCTTGACGCAGGATCTGCGCAGCGCGATTTGCTACCATCACCACGGAGGAGTGCACGTTGCCATTTGGAATTAGCGGAATAACGGAAGCGTCAGCTACGCGAAGGTTTTGGATCCCAAAGACACGCAGATGACTGTCCACGACACCCCTGTCTTCAGTCATTGCCATGGACGCACTACCAACCCAGTGTGAGTTGCGAAACACAGAGTTGAGCACCCATTTGTCCAAGTCTGTACCATAAAAACGTGAGCGTATGGTAAGGTAAATGCTTTGCTATCACGCTTCAGCACATACCTTCTGAAGAGTTGATGCCAACACCTGGAGAAATCTCGTCTCCGATGAGGCCCTTCTTAGCTAGTTTTGCACAATATCAAATGCGGTTAGCTTTTTGTGCATGGTATCCGTTGGCCGTAATCACACTCATGCTCACCAAGTATTGATGTGATGTCTCGCACGACGCCAATAGCCCAAGAGATTTTCCACACATCACCTGCCCTGAGGTGTTCAGGCTTGCTCTCTGGCACTTCCGACACGATACGCGGGATCAAGTGGTCATCGCTTTTGTTGTCATCGACAGAATCGTCGTCATCGCGGACAAGCACCACACGATTACGGGCTAGCGGGTGCAGCAGTGCAATCGTGATTACAACTTCTGTGGCATGGACAAGTCCAGCGCTGTTGGACATGTGCGGTTCAGAGTTTCGGGGGAACAGTGAGAGCTGAAGTTGAGGTAGCGTTGCGCCGGGAGGAATAAAAAACGCCCCAGCGCTAAGGCCAGCGGAACCAAAAGGCCCGAAACTGGATGCATTAGTATCCTTGGAATTAGTAGCCATGAAATACGAGTCCAATGCCGCTCTTAAGCCAGTTTCAAACAGCACAACAGTCAGAATCCAGCAACTACTGCCTTTAGATAATCCAGAAACAGGCTTACTTAAGATCGATCACTTGTGGGTGCTTGCACTCAAATGTCATTCCTACAACAGGGTGGTCCTGCAGGTTCATGCCTACCAGTGGCAAGTGCTTTTTCAGCGGTAAACCAACTTTCTTGAGCATATCACGATGTCCAAGCCCCGAAAGCATCAAGATTTTGGGCGTGTTGATTGCGCCAGCCGTGACAATGACTTCACCATGCTTTGCCAATCGAATGATTTGTACTGTACCGTTTCCGTAGCAAACTTCTACTCCTTCGGTCACGTTCATTTCATTAATTTTGATTTTCTACTTATCAAATCAACCACAAGAGCGTCAGATTGGTAATTCCATGTGAAAAATCCGACACGAAATCCAAAGCGACCACAACTTACCGTAACAGTCGTGTCCAACATCAAGCGTAAATTACCTCGTGTAGATTCTGCCGTCTGACGATCGAGTATTGGTCCAAGAAATGTTTTGGCAGCACTCTCCCGTATTCCGTCACGTGTATTAAAATGATAGTACCCCGCACCAAATCGTCCATGAGGTTGATTAAAATCTGCTGTCCATGGAATACCAACTTGCTCACATGCGTTGATAAATTCCTTGGATAAATTGGTCTTGAGTGCTGGTGGACTCGTACGAACAAATCCTTGTGTCCCGTGATAACTGGAATTTGGTCCATCGTAATCTTCAATTGCCATGTAAATTTCTAACGCTTTTTTCCATGTCCAATTTTCCATATGCCAGCTATCTAAATCCGATGGTAGTGCTCGTACTAATCATCAAGACATGAATACACCAATACACCGTCATATACATGACTTAAATTCCTCTTCTTGTTAATTTATAGATACAAACATCCACTTGGAACTTACCATATAACATTGCATTATGGATTCCACATCCTCCTAAAGCTTTTGCGACATTTACATCCGGATATGCCCAATGTAAATGTCGCGTATTAGCTACACTTGTCCAATAGAATGGAATATCAAAAGGTGTTAACCGTTTCAGATTATATGGTGACTTAAGACGAGCCTGTCACATGTGAATAGACATAAAACAGTCAGTTGTCTCTTTTCTTTCTCACATAAAAGACCATCACTCTATCTTTTTTTTTGCCCACACCTTGCCCCCCCAGCTGCGTCTGTGACGCGTTCCCCGCTTCAATTAACAAGACGCGTCGCCATGGATCATCACTCAGTAATTTAGCCACCACGGACCCAGCAGGACCTCCACCAATGATGATTGCGTCATACTGTTTGTAACATTCAAAAAACATTTGGTGGGCGAAGATGATTAGCAGAATACAAACATAAAAAGGTCCCTTGGATTGCACAATGATGACGTGATCAACCTCTTCTGACAAAATTAATGGTCGTATTATAAATGGCAGAGTCCTAGAACTTCGTAGTAAACGCAAGATAATAGCAACACAAGCGACACCTCCTGTGAATAGTAGCAATAATGCTAGACCACTCACAAGAAGACGTGTGCGACGTTCAATACGTCTTGAAATGCCTGAATGCAAGAGTGATGAGTGTTCATCGATAAAAGTACGAGTCATGATGATTACGAGTCGAGATGGCACAGGACGGGATGAGAAAAAATGGGATCAATGGCGTGCTTGTCTGTCCATCTTCCAGCTCGGAACGACCTTTCAATATAAAATCCTCGTGTACCTTACACAAAAAAAACCATGTGTAGTTGCATATCACTCGGTAGGTATGCTATATCATAGGTTACTGCTTCGTCACGACCGTCCACATTGTCGACCCCTTTTCCTTATTTACGTTTAGTGGCACTAGTGTTTTTCACCACTCTCCTCTGTCATTCTTATTCATTATCCAAGTCACTCAGTCAAGAGAGAGAGAGAGAGCTCCTTTATCCGTGTCCAGCCATGCGTGAGATTATTTCTATTCACTTGGGTCAAGGCGGTATTCAAACAGGCAATGCCTGTTGGGAACTTTATTGTCTAGAGCATGGTATTCAACCGGATGGTACAATGCCAAGTGATAGTTCTATTGGTAGTGGAGATGATTCATTTTCAACGTTTTTCTCCGAGACAGGCTCAGGTAAACACGTACCTCGTGCTGTCTTTGTGGACCTTGAAGCGACCGTATGTGATGAAGTACGTACCGGTACATACCGTCAGTTGTACCACCCCGAGCAAATTATCTCGGGGAAAGAGGATGCTGCTAATAATTACGCACGAGGACATTACACGATTGGCAAGGAATATGTCGATGTGGTACTAGATCGTGTGCGTAAGCTTGCAGATGCCTGTACTGGTCTCCAGGGCTTTATGGTATTCAATGCTGTTGGTGGAGGTACGGGTTCAGGTCTTGGCTCACTGCTGCTCGAGCGTTTATCGGTCGACTATGGTCGTAAGAGTAAATTGGGCTTTACTATCTACCCGTCGCCATTGGTGTCGTCAGCTGTGGTGGAGCCATACAACTCGGTCCTGTCTACACACTCACTCCTTGAGCACACGGATGTGGCTATTATGCTGGACAATGAAGCTATCTACGACATTTGCCGTCGTTCACTGGACATTGAACGTCCGACATACAACAACTTGAATCGGTTGATCGCTCAGGTGATCTCATCTCTGACTACGTCGCTGCGCTTCGATGGCTCACTGAACGTGGATATTAACGAGTTTCAGACCAATTTAGTGCCGTACCCGCGCATCCATTTCATGCTCAGCTCGTACGCGCCCGTGATTTCTGCTGAGAAAGCTTATCACGAACAGCTGTCGGTAGCTGAGATTACCAATAGTGCATTTGAGCCAACCTCTATGATGGCCAAGTGTGATCCACGCCACGGCAAGTACATGGCCACATGTCTCATGTACCGAGGTGACGTTGTTCCGAAGGACGTGAACGCTGCGGTTGCCACGATCAAGACCAAGCGTACGATCCAGTTTGTGGACTGGTGTCCGACGGGCTTCAAGTGCGGCATTAACTATCAGCCGCCATCGGTAGTGCCGGGTGGCGATCTTGCTCGCGTGCAGCGTGCCGTATGCATGATCTCGAACACGAGCGCTATTGCTGAGGTGTTTTCTCGCATCGATCACAAGTTTGATCTGATGTACGCAAAGCGTGCGTTCGTGCACTGGTTTGTTGGTGAGGGCATGGAAGAAGGCGAGTTTTCGGAGGCTCGTGAGGATCTTGCTGCTCTGGAGAAAGACTATGAGGAAGTATCGGCTGAGACTGCTGAAGGTGACGAGGAGGAGTTTGGTGAAGAGTACTAAGTACTAAACAATTTGCGATCAGTATCGGTCGGTAGAGTTGAGACGCAATGATAATGGTTCTCCACATGGCAGCCGTCTATTTGCTTCGTCTTATTCTAATGCTGCCGTTCTTGATTGACCTACGTCTACTATGATTCTAACTACGGTCGGTAGTCGACGTCATTATGACCTGTAGCATTTGTTATTCTGACCATTTGATATTGTCGTATGTACCATATCCATACAAATTTCCTGCTTAATGAAACTGTGAGACCTGATAACTAGAAAGCTACGCATGATGGAATTTCTCATCGACTTCATTCCAAATCTAGTCGCCTATTGTCCACGTGAAAGCTGTTTTCACGTCGTTGATTATGAACCGCATTGCTCGCATTCACTCACACGTAGCCATAAGCTCCAGCATACCTACTACAGTCGAAGAAGATGTGGTCATTGTGTCTGCATTGCGGACACCCATCACCAAGGCCGGTCGTGGTGGCTTTAAAGACACACCGCCTGATGTGCTTCTGGGACACGTGCTACAGGCTGTGCTTAACCAGGCTAAGATAGATTCGAAGCTCATAGGTGATATCGTGGTGGGTAACGTACTGCAGCCTGGTGCAGGCGCTGGTATGGCACGCATGGCCCAGCTGGCTGCAGGCATCCCGCACAAAGTGCCATTACACGTGGTCAATCGCCAATGCAGCTCTGGTTTGCAGGCCGTCGCCAATGTCATTGCAGCCATTAAGGCTGGATATTATGATATCGGTATTGCTGCAGGTGTTGAATCGATGTCAATTGCAAGTATTGGTAAGGATGAGCCAAGTGTCAATTGGGAACGTGTCGGAGCTGTGCAGGACGCTATTGACTGTACGATACCCATGGGCATCACAAGCGAGAACGTGGCCGAGACATATGGCATTTCACGTCTTCAGCAGGATGAGATGGCTGCACTCTCACACGCCAAGGCGGCAACAGCACAAAGCAATGGCTGGTTCAAGGAGGAAATTACTCCCGTGTCGACAATTATCAAGGAAAAGGATGGCAACGAGACATCAGTCGTTATTTTCCAGGATGAAGGTGTTCGTGCCGATACGACAGTAGAAAAGCTGACTAAGCTACGTCCGGCGTTCAAGGAGGGGGGATCTACCACGGCTGGCAATTCAAGCCAAGTAAGCGACGGCGCAGCTGCCGTGCTGCTCATGCGTCGCTCGGTGGCTAACAAGATGGGGCTGTCGATTCTTGGACGCTTTGTTTCGTACGCTGTTGTGGGTGTGCCACCCGCTTTGATGGGCATTGGTCCAGCTGTAGCGATCCCGGAAGCATTACAAAAGGCTGGCTTGACGCTGGATCAGATCGACGTGTTTGAGATCAACGAGGCGTTTGCTAGCCAGGCCGTATACTGCGTCAAGAAGCTCGGTATTCCTATGGAGAAGGTGAATCCAAAGGGTGGTGCGATTGCACTTGGCCACCCTCTGGGCTGCACTGGCGCTCGCCAGATGTCCACGTTATTGTATCAGCTCAAGCGGAAGAACCAGCGGTACGGAGTAATCTCCATGTGCATTGGCACAGGGATGGGTGCTGCTGCAGTTTTTGAGCACGAACCGTTGCCATGAAGTCTGGAGAAGGAAGATGCGAGAGTAGAACCGATTGTTTCATTGATGAATGCACAAGACGGACAAGTTGTTGACATCGATTCGATTGATCGTTTGATGGACAATTGTACCCATTCCTGCATCAAGGCAGATTAATAATAATAGCTCTTTTAGTGATATAAAAAATGAGGAAGGTCACGGACAGTCATTATGTCTAGCTGAAAACGCCTGTGATAAGTGATATCATCGTGTCTGCAGAAAGTATAACACTATGAAGGTACTAAATGTAACTCGAATGTCCACAATTGCTTATCTCTGCCACACCATATTTACATACGTTTGCATCTGTACCCATTTAGAAACTTCCCCGGGTTCAACGTCTTTAAACGTCATTTCGTCCAGTAATAATTGATCATGAAGTCCGAGCACGTGAGCGGATTCTTGGCGACGGCTACAGCAACGGCTGCTATCGCTTCTATCGCTTTACTGCAGAAAAAACGCGCATCGGTCTATGATCATATGAAACCAAAGCAAAGGGGTCGTCAACGTCGTCAAAGTGCTCCCGTTAATGGCCACAAACACTTGATAATGACGCCGAAGAGCCGGATACTGGACGATCCATCCGAGGGCTATGAGCTATTTCCTATTGACTTTTCTATGCACGTTCAGATTCGACAGAATGCTGTTTACAAGTTTCTTGAGACACATCCAGAGGCCAAGAATCATGCGTCGGTTATGTTACTTCATGGAGGCGTTGAAGTAGACCGTTATGACACGGACATTCAGTATAATTTCCATCAGGAGAGTTTCTTTCAATACCTCTTTGGAGTTCGTGAGTCTGGATGTGCTGGACTTGTGGATTTGACGACGCATAAGGCTGTACTATTTGTGCCACGACTGAGCGATGAGTGGGAGCTCTGGTGTGGAGATCGCAAACCGTTGGCTTACTTTAAAGCACACTATAAGGTGGATGACGTGTATTTTATGGATGAGATTGCGACTGTAATGAGTGACAAGATTCAGGCCAAGAAGCTATACGTACTCCACGGTCAAAACACAGATAGTGGGTTAGAGACAACGACGACGTCGACTTTTGAAGGGATTGACAAGTTTGACGTGGACAAGGAGGCACTGCACCCAGTTCTAGTCGAGTGTCGAGTGATTAAAACGGAAAAGGAGCTGGAACTGCTACGATTTGTGAACAAGCTGTCGTCTCGCGCTCACATTAATGTGATGAAGAATATTTGCTCGGGCAAGATGGAGTTTCACGCCGAGAGTGATTTCCTTCATTATGTATATAGCAATGGAGGGGCTCGTTTTCATGCTTACACATGCATCTGTGGCAGTGGTCATAATGCATCGGCGTTACATTATGGTCACGCTGGAGCACCGAATGACAAGCTGCTGGAGGACGGTGACTTGTTTCTGAACGACATGGGTGGTGAGCTACATGGATACACTTCTGATATTACGTGCACGTGGCCTGTTAACGGCGTCTTTTCCGCTGACCAGCGCGTGGTCTACAAAGGTGTATTGAAATCGCATGATGCCGTGATGGATGCAATTAAGCCGGGTGTAAGTTATGTTGACTTGCACTTACTGTCGCACCGCGTGCTAACGCAGCACCTTCTTGAGCACGGCTTGTTCCAGAATGGTACGGTAGATGAGTTGATGGACCATGAAATATCGGCATACTTTTATCCTCACGGTCTTGGCCACTTGATGGGCTTAGACACCCACGACGTTGGGGGGTATTCCTATGGGCTACATCCGCTCTACAAAGAAAATTCTGGCCAAATTGCGTTGTGTGCGTAACCTTGCGAAGAACATGGTGCTGACTGTAGAGCCTGGCTGTTACTTCATCGAGGCCCACATCCAGGCAGTTCTCGCCAACCCCGTTACTGCCAAGTTCATTAACCAGGAAATGCTGTCTCGTTTCCGTGGCACTGGAGGTGTTCGAATCGAGTCGGATGTTATCGTTACTGAGACTGGCGTGGAGTGCATGAGCCAAGTACCGAGGACAGTTGAGGAGATCGAAGCGACAATGCAAAAGGTGTAATTTGCTTCTTGCATTCAGACTAAACGAGTGCATGGATGTATCACCTTTTCTAAAGTTTAAAAATCGGATTGAGCAAATGAGCACGTTAGCAGAACAAAATGATTTGCAGCAAGTAAGCACATGAAAACGACTTGACCAGGACGGAGAACAGTCTACACACTCAAGCAATACTAACAAAGCTACTGTTTGTCCCACCATATCTGCTTCGTTTCTTGGTATATCAGTATGCTGTCTTGAATCACTTACAGCGTTTGACTTCTTACTCTATTTTCCAATCATCCACTACTGTGAAAAACGCTATTAAGTGACCGACCAACCTGCTTGACCCAGAAAATTTTGATTCACATTAGCATATATCAAGCAAAAGGAATGAACTTCAGCAATATATTGACAAGCTTCAATATGCAAGTAGCATATTAGTTACCCTGTTTAATCTCACGTTGAAACATTGCTAAGAAAGAATACAGTGTTTGAATCAACACCATCATCTTTCTTGCATCAAAATATCATCACAACGTTAGAAGCGAGGAACGTCATAGGTCAATTACGAGACTGCCTTAGTCTTTAGTCCCGTGCTGGATAGGAACGAGTCCACCGCAGCATGAACTTCATCATGATGTGGTACCTTCTTCATATGTTGTAGCCAAGCCGATACCTTGGGATACTTGGTAAAGTCAAAGATTCCCATCATTTCAAGCTGCACAAACTCACAATACGCAACAAAGTCTGCAATCGTTGGATGATCCGACTCAGCTACATAGTCCTTGACCAGTAGTTTCTCAAGCAATTCCGTCAAGTTCTTCAAAAAAGAAGGCGACTCCTTGATCCAAACCGCTTCTTCTGGTGTTCCAATATTCTCTTTCGTGTGTTTTAATGGTATTAACACCTTGAGCGTAATCAAACGGGCATTCGTATGGTGCCAGTGCAAATACTGATTCACCTTTGCATGAGCCTTCACGTCCTTTGGATACAAATCCGACCAGCCGTATTTCTCAGCTAAATAGACCAGAATAGCATTGCCCTCATAGAGTGAAAACTCTCCATCTTGTAACACAGGAATCAAACCATTGGGGTTTAATGCCAAAAACTCTGGAGATTTAAAAGTAGCACTGCCAAACTCTGTCGTAAGCATTTCATGATCCACTTGCTTGACTCGTAAAACCCATTCAACCGCTCGACTTGGTTGGGAAACCAAGTTGGCATACAATTTTAAAGACATTTCAAAAAAGACTTGAGGTGTAGCTGGCAAATTGAAGAATGAAAAAGATCGTGGAAGAAGGGCGGAAATCTTCGTGTGGGTCACACAATTCAAAAATCCATGCAGTGGAAACATGGCTACATTTGTGATAAAAAGGATGGGTTCACAAATATGATACGTTGTCACCAAAAGTAACGTCTACCACATCATTTATTTGTCAAAACTGATATTATTCGGTTTCAAATCGTGTCCGTCCTATATTAAATATCATCCTCTCACCTTGTCCGGATAAAGCATTGTGTGCGACCTTGCAGTGCGTCAGAGAAGTATCTATCCATCATCTCTTCTTCTACTTTGTGGTATATTACGTGTCTACAAGGTTTTTTTGACATCCTTAAAAAGATGGAGCAAACAGCGTTTGTACACCCGACGCTAATGACAACTACCTATGCCCTCGTATGTGTTGTTTCTCTTTCATAAATAATATTTCATAATATTGTATTAACACATAACCTCTTATAATTTATGACAGTGTAAGTTAATTTCCTTACAATGGCATGTATACAGCCTTGCACCACTGGACGATGGGAGTGTAAGAAAGAAAAAGACTGAGATCAAGAAAGGACCAAAAGGTAGTTGTGAGGCAAGAGAGACAGAAGAGACGGCTCTGACGGTCTTTTTTCAGCGTCTACAGCAGCGTAATGTTGTGTGTGTCCTTCTAGACGCTCAAAAATACACGACGTCGTCTGTAGTGCCGTCTACTAGCTCTGGAGAACTGTGGATTTTTATTGTCAATGGGATGCAGAATGGAACAGCATTTGAGCCACCTACAGGGGTCCGGGAGATACAGACGGGATCTTGGATCAAGGATACAAAGCCTCTTAATACAGTAGCTCAAAAGCATTTTTTTGCTGCGTTGACGTTGGTTCTTGGCCGAATATTGCTTGCTCAAGACGAGTTTGTGCTCACTGACGATGGATTTTACGAACCGAACGACGCCAGTTTTATTTTCCGCTGTCCGTCACTGACGAGACTTAACCACGTAGAAGTATATCTAGAGGAAGAGTTTCCAAAACCAGCATTTCAATTGCATTTTAGACTGTTTGAACCGAGCGATTGGCTGACTGTTGCAGTGGATATAGTGACGAAGGAAGGATTAATGGCATCGGATAGTGTAATTAGTGCGGAACTGGGAGACATGAGGTGTTCTTGGGAACGGCTTGTAGGTTTGCCGACGCAAAAGGATTACTCGATGGTGGATGTGTGGCACGTGAAGGACGGCTTGGTGCCGCGCATTATTGCTGAGACAAAGTTTGCAGATGTGGTGCCGTTGTTCAGCACAATCTCGAAGCGGATACATAAGTGGAAAACGGATGATGATGAAGGCAGCGAAAATGAGGAGGATGTTAAAAAAGACGAGAACGAAGAAGATGCAGATGAGGACGAAGTTGACAACAACCAGGAGGCTGACGTGGAAACCGACGAATTACTACGGCGCCCTGAAACTGGTGGAGCGGTAAAGACAAAACGGAATCGTGACCGTGCTGATTTCACGGAGAACGATGAAACGTTTGCACCAACGTCTCCCGACACACATGTAAATACACCTAATGCAGCTGGTCCAGTTATCCAGGTGATGCTCCCTCATGACGACGACTTACACTTGCGAGTAGACGCTAATGTTAGACGCTTCAAACGACGGCGAAGGGGCTATAATGGGAAAGCAGCCGACAATTTGGGGTTTTCCCTGGCAGTTGGGCCGGTCAAACGTAATAGTACCGGTTTCGTTGCGAAACCCGAGTCTTTGGCGCTTGCAAGCACTGGCGTGAAGGAAATTGCATATGACCCTGGTCAATTATCTTGTATTGTGAAGTCTGGACCAGTTACTAGGCCAAAAATTGATGCCAAGCCTCTTAATGTGGCTGTATCACTTGTAGAATCACTTTCTCATAATGAACAACAGGAGGCGTTGGACGGGCGGCCAGTGAAGATACATCCTTTGCTACAAGCACTTCAAGATTATGTTGATGATGAAGCCAAAGCAAATATTGAGGCAAGTTTGACCTCAATTGCGTCGGCAAAAGTCAAGTTCTTGCCAAACTCAGATGCGTTTATTCCCTCGCCACTTCGCTTGACAGTGGGAAAGCTTTCAATAAATCGTGCAACAGCTAATCAGCTGCGTCTTCATTTGTGCTCCGATCGCTTCAAGTACTGGCGTTCTGAGTACACAAAGCTACAGTACCCGAAAAATAGTCGTCAGCAGAAGAAGGAACAGCAGCGTCAGGCTTTTCTTGCGTTTGACCAAGTTGCGTTCGAAGAGCGTGCTCACCAGGAAGCGGTAAAACTTTGGAGGAGTTCCGATCAGTTTAAGCTACGAGATGACGAGATTGCATTGGGTATTCAAATGGCTGCTTCGGACGCGATGGTGACATGGCATCAAGAGCCAGATGGAATTCAAGAGTGGTCTGCACACTCGAATCTTAAGGTCACTACAGCAAGTGCGCTGGAAAAGGGCGAAACACTGAACCGCGTGCAGCCTTATCTACAAAGCCTGTTGTTGCTTCTTAAAAAGGAAGACAAGAACGAAGTTGAAGTCGGGAAAGGTAAGTGTGCCCGGCGATGGATGAGCTTTGAGGAATACACTCAGGTGTCGACGAAATTACGTGGAACTAAACGAATTAAGTGCGTCCGCGTGGAGGAAGTGCCGAAATTGTGTGTGTCCACGCTCGAGTCCAGCTATCACGTTGACCATGCTATCCTTTCGGAATATTTATTGCGTGATTTGTATCCGGTAGCTGCGCCAAAACCATTAGATTACGTAATTGTTTGCCCGCAGTCTCCGGCGCAGTGGTTTGCTTCGCTTGCGCTATCTTATTTTACCTGTTTCCGCAGTATGTATGCAAAATGCCACATGGGCGATTTGGCCCCCACTGATCTGGGTGAAGTGGAAGGAAATCGGTATGTAAGTGTAGATCCTTTTAATGGACTACTACTTGTTGACTGTGCCGAGTGTATGCTGGATCCCTTTGCTAATTTTCGTGCCGCTGGAAAACTTCTGAATCCTGTATTGTTATCTGGTACTGTCAAAAAGACACAGGCCTTTTCACGGTCCGCTGTCGCTAGTGTCGTATACTTGATAGTTCCATTTCGCCGAAGCGATGTAAAGCATAAAATGTGGATTTTAGGAGCGTTTTCAAGCGGCTTGTTTGGAATGGAAAATATTGCCGATGTCAGCGGCTGGAAGGGTTGTGTGACGATAGAGATGGTCTATTTGGATGACATGTATGAGGTGGAGATAAACCCAAGCCCATTTATGCTGATGCCAGATTGTTTTGGTCTCTACGATCGTGTTTGTGAGAATCTAAATTTGAAGCCAGCTGATGGAGTTTCTAGTTGTGCCAGTCAATCTCGGTTTCTTTGTGAGCGTCTGTACCACTTAGCTGATTGGCGAGCAGATGCGCTCGATGAGAATACGCAAGGTCAGGCGGAGCGGCCGCACATTTATGGCGGGTATCTGCTCTCAGAGGACCGCAAATGGATCGCGTGCAGCTGCACGGACGCAGTCGGTTCAGTTTTCGAAACACATATGATTCCTGTCGAAGATGGAAGTGATCTTGAAAACGCTCTGCTTACGGTGATGCTGAAAATGCTGCAATTTCTTGCATTATTTGGCGAAAAGAGTGCGCTTGTAATCACGCGGCTGACTAGTATGTCTGGGGCGTCGTGCTTGAATAACGAAGAGCAGGCTGCATGGGAGACGCTACGATCCAATCGATTGGAGGAGCTGATACCAGTAGCATATACACCGCTTCTATCGTGTGTATTGCTTCTGCAGCTCAATACAGCATCGAATGAGGAGGTACAGCTGCGTGAAAATCCGTCGTCTGCAGCTTTATATGTTTCTGACAACCTCGGATTCGCTGTCATGGCTCCCCAAGAGAGGACTGCTGCTTGTGACAGCAGTAGAGCTGTACTTTGTACTGGTAGTGATGCCTGGAAAACCACCTCCTTGCTGCACGATCAGCATACTCTAGCCCAAAAGCGAGAGGCAAGGGTTTTGAAAGTGACATTAGTACTTGCATTGCTGCAGAAAGATAGTAACACCGAGAACGGTAGAGTGACAGAACCGGCACCAGCCAGCATGATGACTGCTATTTTGCGGGATTTCTACGCGCAGTCGTACTTGACGCTGCACCCGATCACAATGGAGAGACAATCACCATTGCCTCATCACTTGGCTGCTATTTCAAAGATGAGCCGCGAGTTACAAGTATTGAAGACTCAGCTGACAACGGACCCTTTGCAGACGCGGTGACACAAAGAATGAGAGGCACTTTGCAGCCATCAGCGAGCGTTGTGTTACCTAGTGTGAACGTGTAATACAACGATTGTGATAGTGTGAGCTGTATTTCAACTAAACTCGTGGGTTTCAACACTAATGTGGCTTTCTCATCGTATTAACCATGTTTTGTGTGTGGTATGTCATATCTTCAGTGAGTGGAACATGTGACGGTCGAGCTCCATGCTGGCAAGAAGCAGCAGAGTTGCTAGCGTATACCGGGCAAAAAAAGGTAAGTACGTATCGTTAGGAGCAAACAACGATATTGGATTCGTATCAGCTAATGACGTGGTCTGGTGCAGTGAGAAATGCCTGATGAAGAATCAGCCACGTTCGATAACACCATCATGAGGATAAGTGTCGTTGCAAAATGGTATGCAGCGATTCCATCCTTTGACGAGTTTGAAGATGCCGTCAAGCAAACGAATAGCTTTACATGTGCGCAGGAGCTTACTTAACGCCACGGTCGTTTGTCGCTCAAGGGCCACTCTGACCTTGTGCATTGATTTTTTGGTTTGTTTAGAAGCGCTACGTGCGACAAGAAGGGCATTACAATGCATGCATTGGCATGTTCAAGATCTGTTGATTCACGCTGACAGCAGCAGCAGCAGCTTGGTCAACAGTCTTCAGCACGTGACGTCGTCGAGTGTGAAAGTCGCTTTAAATGCAGCCACACGACAGCGACTTATCAAGACACTGCTAGAGATTGAACAATTGCTGCTTGCTGACGACCAAACAAAAGCGTTTTCTGTTCGCAACGCCAATTGTTGAACGGACCTGCTTTTTCTAGATACAATCGTTTCACTCGACCAAGTTTGCTAAGCTCCTTACAAACACGTATGAAGCTGTAACGATATCAAAACAGTAACGAAAGGGTAGCGGCTTGTACTGAACCTGAAGTTGATCATTTGACTCATAGTTTCAGTGGAAGTACTGGACGAATGAATGTCTTGGCTCATTTGCTTCAAAGAATGCTATGAAGACAAGGGATTACAAGTTTCTTTGAAGAGATACTCGACTATTGAGAAAAACAAAGCGTGAGATATATCTGACCTACATGTCATTCATACCATGTCCACCATATGAAGAAGATTCGAATATACACTTCATCCTTTGAACCATTCGACCTTCTTCGAGGTTAGTGGACTCGCAACTTAAGGTTCAACAAAAAAAAGTGACGCCAAAACGTTCCATGTCTGTTCAGCTGTAGCCGTTTTTCGCTACGGTCCTACTGTGTTTTTCCAGAAAATATAACGATAATAAGAAGGACAAGGACGAACAAAACAAGAATCTTGCAAGTTTCCATACTAATCGTCAAAGAAACTGGCATTCGTTAGTGTGTTGTATATGCGATCTTATTTTCCATTCGTCTCATTTTCAAACGTGCTTTCTTGTGTGCTATCGAATCAATTGGAGAAAAGCAATCCATCAACTCGTACACTTCGTTTTCCCAACTGTCCTTTGATGTTGAAAGCATTCACAGAGTCACTTGATATTGTTCATCGTGTTTCAAGTCGACGAGATATGAAGAATATACAACATGCGACTGGTCTACGAAATCATCAGGGATATGGTGCTAGAACTCTTAAAGTCCGTAGAAGTGCTTTACTATCCATGTCTCCTGCTTGTAATTTTCAAGCTTTTAGTCTGTACTTTCACTTACCACTGAAAGTAGCGGCAGAGAAATTCGGGGTTCGAGCCACAGCATTTAAAAAACGCTGCCGAGCTATTGGTATTCGTCATTGGCCGTACCGTAAGGTACGCAGTCTAAAAAGGTCATTGCAAGAACTTCATCAATGCAAGCACAAAGCTCCATTGAATGATAAACAAAAGGCTCAATTTGACACGTTCAAGCACCAATTGGATAAGCTCATGGCTCCAGAGACTTATGGACTTGACCCATTGGGGTATCTTCGACCCTACCAACATCAACAATTGCTGCTTACCAGTGACGACGACGAGGAACATACCGAGTCAGACGAAGACGGTTACGACTCGCTCGGGTCGCAGAGTCCTAGTGATACTTTGATTGATGACTGCACTATCAGTCCCAAAGACGGAGATATCAAGACACTGGGCGGCATTGTGCCAGTTGGGTCGGCTAACCTTTGTACCGGCAGGAGTCCAATCATGCATTTGTCACCGGCACACTTGTCATTCTTTGATAACGGATCAAAGCACGTGTTACATAACGAAGCATGCTATTTACAAGAGCAGTACTTTAGTCATGACAATGGCTTTGTCATTCCCTGTGAAGTCGACAAAGCTACCGCCCTTGTTATGAAGACATCGACGCCAAGCCTCAAGAAACAGACGGAACATTATCCGTCTATCGGCTTTGAAAGCATTGATCTCGACTTCCTGCCCTCAGAAACAAACGCAAGGTTGCTTGATGATGCGGACGAGGAGTTTACAACCGATGTAAACCAAGTGGACTATAGCAGTGAACGGTTCTTTGACGACGTCTTCCTGCAAATCTCACCCGACTACGGATGTCTGGTCTAAGCTACTTGAAAACTTCAGTATCTGAATCGAGCCGCGCAACTGCGGGTTTGTGTGTAGCCTTGCTTCGTCGTTCAGCAGCTACAATGACATTTTTTCATTATATAAAGTAGCTTTAACCGTTGTAATCTACGAGCAGCTCCTAAGATCTACAAGATAGAATACGCGCGTCGCTTTTATTCTTCTTGGCCCAGTACTCTTATCTGCTTTTGCACGCTTTTCATCATGTTTCAATATCATTGGAAATCTTCACCATTAGTAGAGGAGCTGGAGTTGCTAGAGTTAGGCAAAATGCCCAGGTAGTCCTTTTGGTCACGTGGGTACCACTTGAAATACGACACTAGAACGATGGCAGTGACGAGCGCTAACATCACCAAAAACAAAAGAATTCGACTTGTGCACGCTTTGAATGCCATCGAACGGATGTTGCGTTTTGCTTCCATAGTGTCATCTTGCGTTTGTGCAATCTACAATAGCATTGCATAGAGGATAAATAACAAACTAGTCATCATCCTGCAGTTTGCTTATGTGTGCTTTTCAACTTCGTACATTCAGCTCCGTGTGCTCCAGTTGATTCCGTTGCTGAAGTAAGTTGTTAGCAACATTCTCCGCTGCGAATACGTCATGTTGGTTGGATTGAGTTCATCGTACGGGAAAAAATGTCCGTACAAACATAACCTTCTTACCGATTGCTTCCGTGTGGGCGAGAATACGCTGTGCATCTTCTAAATGACGTCCAGTTCTGATAACATGTAGATATTAGGTATACTGTAGCAACGTAGTCTTCCCGAATACTACAAGTACTCACCTTTCGACACGTTCAGTGCAACTTTCAAGTTGTTCTACCTGTATGGGCGAACGTATATGATCAGATATGTAACAGGTTAGCGACTCTCCTGTGACTTCCACAACAAATGATCGTCACACAAAACGAACCGTGGTCGCATCCTCAACGGATGCCATGGACGATTTCCCTGCTCGGACATCGTTCGCTAACAATTCCTTCTCCAACGAACTTTTCAATCTAGTCCATTTGGTTCTACAATGGTGCACCTTCTCCATCATTTTCCTCTTCTTTGTCGGAGACGACTCAACCTTAGCTTCATTATCCAAAATGCGTATCTATCAACATGTTCAGTATGAAAATCCGTAAGAACCATATCACTGCCATAAATGTTCATCTTCGTTCATACATATCGCTCCACTTCATCAATGTTACTTTTTGCAGTCACCGCCAAGTGTTCACGCTCAGCTGCGTAATACAAAGTAGAGGTAAGACGTAATCCATTCTCTGCAATATCAAATGGAATCATTCACGTACTGGAATTCGAAGTGTGCTTGTACTCATCAATGGCTTGGAATGCCTCTTGTCGGGCATGGTCATAGTCTTTATAATATCCGTCAAAGACTGTCATAGTCATGTATTTTCACGTACTGTTCGGACAATAGGTATAGCAGCTCGTTTCACTCTTTGGCCGAGATTATTATGGGACGAGTATCAAACATAACCACACTGTCCCGTAGACGAACAACACCTCTTCGCATTCTCCTGAATTAGAAACTATCTATATAATGTATACTTGCAGCTACGAACCCATTGTAAAGTGTAGTATCGTAACTACTTCTTGTCTACATATCTCACTCACATCACGTCAAGAGTTGCTGGTAGAAGTTACTTTAGTTTTAGGAGGAAGCAACAACGCTACATGTAGGCTAAAGAAGGTGATTGGAACTATGATATGGTGCCATTGACGAGACTGATGACCATCGTGATAAGCAAAAGATTTCGTTAAGGTGCTAGTGACACTACTATTGAGCAGTTTTGGTTGAAGGTAAAGAAGATGTATACGACGTCGAATGCGTCTTAATAGGATACATGCAATTGCACTATGGGGGTAACGATTAGTTTACCTGTATCATAAGCTGTAACCTGCTCGATTATCTGTCAGCGCTGTCTACAACGAGTGAGATGTACAAATACCAAAATGTTATTTGCTACTTTACATGCGGTAGTGTACTGCGGCTTTCTCAGGTTGATGTGCTCTGATAACCATACCAACCGAATGAGCATCTTCTTGTCAAACTAACAAATACGCTCTCCGTCTCACTCGTCCAGCCGACCGAGAATATCCATTAGGTTTTCGTCGCTTTGAATACCACCCAAACTTTCGCAAATCAACACGAACGCCGTGAATAAGTCGTTCGCCACATCAGATTCAATCTTGTGCGCCATGGAATAGGCAAATGCGTTTACCGATGACAGAAAAATTGTAACAGACGAAGCGAGATGAGGCAGGGCCTTGTACACGTGCAAACTCTCGATAGAGATCACATTGTTTGGAATCGATTTTGCGCTATCTAGCCGCCACGATTTCGTCAAACTTCCTGCTCCATTCGGTGACATCACCGATTGATGGGCTTCATTTGCCAAGAACAGACTGCGTCGTATATCTGTGTCAGACGAAGCTGTGAGCAAGTGGTGCTTCTCAAACGGGTATATGATCACTTCAGCAACTTTGACATCGGACGTGATAGAATGAGCAACACGTATGTTCCTGAGAAAAGACGCATTCATCTGAGCGTTGAGATTCTGGTCAGCTGTGATGGTGGATTGCGCCATTGCCATTGTGTTTTTAAGTTTAGCATTGATCTCCTGCGTTGCACGACTTGCCAAGTCCCAGAATCGCGTGGTTAGCATATCAACACCTTCTAAAGTAAGCCAGTCGAGGGTAGTAGTGGCTGTAAATAGTCCAACTTGGTCTACTTCTGCAGGCTGCTGCACGAGTTGACGCATGTTGCAGTCGACATCCAGCATGATTCGAAAAGGGTTGCAGCGCCCGCCTTGTTCCTTGCCATTACGTACGCGATAGAACGCGAGTAGCATGACGACAACTACGACACCATCCAGAGTTACACTCTCCTGTTTGCATCGAACCAAAGCTCTTCGCATGCATTTACCATCCCCGTCGGCAAACAAGGCACTAGTACTGTTTGTCACTGGAGGCACTGCAAAATCTTCCTGGTCCTTTCGAGCCGGCAACAGTGATGCGAACTTGCGCACGTTTCCGCGAAACATGCGTCGACCTAATATGGCGTTAGTACCCCTAAGCAAAGGCTTGATCCATGTGATCTTCTTGAGCCACATCCGATAGAGTGACGGACGTAATGGATACTCCTGGACAGCCGACATGTTTGACGTTTGATGCTGCGCAACAACTTGCCTAGCAAGTTTTGATACCTGCTCCAGGATGAAGTTGAGAACGACGACACCCGAGAATCCGTCGGACATGTACTGGTCCGAGAAGAGAGTGAGGCGAGCGGTGTCCTTGCGTTTAGCCACCCACACCGACAGATAGAACGGGAACTGACTATGGCGGTCGAAGCCAACACTACACTCCTTCTCCACAAAAACTTGCCAGCTCGTTGGGGTGCCGTCTCCATAGTCTGCTGGTGACAGCATCCTCACTCGAAGCAAGTTGGTGAGGTTGTCCGGGGTTATTGGAGGCTGGATCTCCGCCGCAAATAGTTGGTCTTGAATTTGAAGCGCTCGCATTCGAGGATGAGTGTTAAATGCATTGACGACTGCAGTGGGCAGGAATTGGAGCAACGTCATTGTATTCCCGCTAACGAGCATCGAGTGTGCGATCTTAGTTGATACTCCGTTAATTGCAGAGACCATCCGCTCAACACCTCGAAGGGATATTACTCGACTACCAGCATAGCTTTGGTTGTCCGAATTCATAGTGAAGCTGGAGATTTGTGGAACAAGATCAAGTACTAGGTTAAGCTTAGAATATTTGTTAATAAGCAAGAGTCTTAACCTTGAGACGCGATGACTCTCAGTGCTGGCAAGAGAAGTGATCGGCTTTGATGGGACCTTCATGACATGCGTTAGCGGTCCATTCCTGAAACGAAAGGTATACAATTTTCGTGCCAGAGACACAACCAACTCCGTCGCTGATCGGCCTTGTGGAGTCATCATGTTTTGCTACCAGCATTCAAAGGATCGTCATATATTACTATAGTGTTGGCACTTTACATCGGCTTGGAGGATATTTGTCTCTTACTATTCATAATTGAACGTACGACAAGTGGCTGACGCACTGTTGCATCGTACTCTTTCTTGTATTCAAAGTTCAATACCAAGGATGTTGTTTGACTCATATACGCGCTGTGGCACTTCTCGCTGGTGTGAGAGACTTCATGGACCAAGGTGGGAAACAACATGGTACTGCACGTTGTGTCAGAAGGCTGTCCTGGGAATGAATCACTATTGTATGTGACTCCAGACTTGTATCGGTAGTGCCAGGGGTCCGATCTGTGGCTTGTGGTGTTACGGTTGGATACTACGTCGGCGCAAAGATCAGCGTGGAGGCTATATAAACAAAGTAACCACTGCAATGGTGGTGACACGGTGATACGATACAGTCATACACAATGATATCACTTTTCCTTTTTTTTGTTTTTTGTTTTTTTGTTTTTTTTTTTGTTGGGGGAAAAAAAAGATTTGTTTGTTTATAAAAAAAAAAAAAAAATTTAATGGGGGGGTGCCACAGGTGATAACAGATACAGTCATACACAATGATATCACTCATCCCTGTAAGCTATGAAAGCAGAATGAATGAATTGAACAAGCAAGGACGAAGAGTCTTGTCTCGTTTCCGGAATTTTTATAGCTCTTATGCAAGTAACAAGAAGACATTAACACCGATTGATCCATTTGCGCGTCTTTATATTGCTGCACTGTTCATTATTGCCGCATCTTCTTGACCTGAACCAGCACCCTCTCAATACGCGAGCTGATATTGGGCATTACACTCACGTGCATGTCCATGCAACGGTTCATACACTTCTTCATAACGTTCTTCTGGACATGCGCAATCTTCAAAATTCACTGGGATCACCAGTGACTGGCAGTTTCAAGCTTGATTCTGACAATTTTGAGCCAGCGTTGAACACGATTCTGCAAGCTTGCATCTGATAGACCTGATTTATCGGCATGTAACAGCGCTTGTCGGAGGCGTTAAGCTGCTTCAAGGACTGGTTCTTATACTCAAACGCCTTCGCAGTACACAGATAGCTGCCAGCTACGCGTCGCATACAGGAGGTTGAAGTCTAGCGGTCCAACATCCTGGTTACGGCGTCCTGCCACTTGTCGTTTGTCCATTTTTACTGTTGTCTGGGATTCTCCAACAAGAGCCAAGTTGTAAACTTTACCATCGTACAAAACCCACACACTTGTTTTGAGTCACGGAAGCTAGTGACATAAGCTTAGCGTCAGAACCGCTGTTCCCATCAAGTTGACATTTACACTTGACTTCACCTGAACATGATGATTAAAAGCCGTCTCGTTTCATGCTCAAGAGGAAATTTTGAGGCGCTGGAAGATCACATCCAACTTGCTGTCAGTTTGAATCAAGTCACATCCAATAAACTCAAAAAGTGCTACCTGAGAAGGCTGCATGACAAGCACAAATACACTGCGTCAACATGTTATTGAACGCTGCAGGAAGTCCAGAGCTATAAACCAAGTCATACCTCCTTTTACGTGACATCTTGTAGTCAGAGCTATGAGCTGCATAGGATGCAGCTTGAGTTGTCGTCCATGATAGCTCCACGTTGGTTCACCTCCCGTTTGATTGTATCTCAAAATGAGCCATAGTGCTGCTCACTTGACTACATGGAGAACTTTCGATTGCCAGCGTCGTTGGACCACTGTGGTGACTCATATGTAAATCATCCATATATGAATATCGCTTTCCCGTCAATGCGAGCCCTTTGGACGGTAACCTTGTGCACGCTACATTTTGCTTGATCACTGCACGAATGAGCTTCAGTCCCATGTAGTATGTTACTCATGTTGCCATTTGAATCTTCTAGCTTCCATGTCGTTGATGATATAGCGATCACGGTTGTGTATGTTGAGCGAAAAACATGCCCTACACGACAAGGCAAACATTCAACTTTACACAGCACGTGCTCGCTAGATAAGCAATAGATTGCTACCATGTTCAGCATGAGCATTTGTTGATCCCATCAACACGAAGGTGAAGATGCCAGCACGAAGCGCTAATGTCGAGGTCCGCGATGCGAGGCGGAATGTTACGCTTCACGTGCACCGATGCGGCAACATCGCTTTTTTCTTGGGACGATTTGTATATCGTCAGCAAGAATACGACATTCTGTTACCCAAGAATTGGAAGCGGCGTGTCGTTCCTATTATCAGCTGCTTTAGGACCATCTTCCGAGTCACACGCCTGCGCTATTTCAGCCTCAGTTGCTGCTGAAGTCGAAGCTGGCGTTCAGCTGCTGATGTGAAAGTAACGGCACGACACTATCAGCATTCTCACTTGATGCATCCTATCGGTTAATAGCCTCAGCTATTGTAGGTAGTCAAAGATGAAGTATGCATCCGAATCCG